TGGCACCATCACATTTCCGCTGCTTCCAAAACTAGAAAATACACCTGACAAGCATTATGCAAACGATGATGACGTCATTTCTGTGGAGGACTGGCAAACATGCGTGGGGCTTGTGCTTGTTTTACTGTAACATTTATTAATGGAAAGATACGACTCTGGTTTGTGGAGCTGCAACAGAGTAGATGCGAAACCCCAGCTATTTACCTCCTCATTGTAGCTCCTAGAGACACGGTATGGATGGACGGTACTGTTCCAGTACGATGATGTAACCCCAGCTATCTACCTCCTCACTGTAGCCCCTCGAAAGACGGGGCGGTCGGGTAGCCTAGTGGTTAAAGCGTTCGCTCGTCACGCCGAAGACCCGGGTTCGATTCCCGACATGGGTACGATGTGTGAAGCCCATTACTGGTGTCCCCCGCCGTGATATTGCTGGAATATTGCTAAATGCGGCGTAAAACCATACTCACTCACTCACTCCTAGGAAGAGGGTATGTGTGGATTGACGGTACTGTAGGTGCCTTGTACGTTTAGGGAACCGGTAAGCCTGAGTCACCTTTGGTTTTAGGTCATAATCAACATAACAACAGAATTATGTACGGTTGACAGGTTAATTAATCTACCTGTAATCGAAACACGGTGTTTGTGAGCCCTAACAGACATCTTCTGATGCATGCTTTGATGGGCCTTTTTTTTAGGTAACGGTGTGGAGTGCTGAGGTCATTAGAGCGCGTGACATGTGGTTCTCCGCTCGATAGTAATGAGCTTTACCCCCGATGTGCTCAAGTATAGCATCTGATGTGTAACGCCTGTTGATTCAGGGTCCTCATCTCGGATGCCACTGTAAGCAGAAAGTAGCGGACCCTCCCAGGTTTATACTGCCTCTCAAGAAGAGAAGAACGATGATGAATGGTGTCATGTTTCCTCGAAATGTTGAACTTAACATTCGCCTGTTCGAAGTAGGCTTTTCTTAGACAACGTGGTGTTTCATCAAAGTGTCACACAGAGGGCTGTGCTCATACTTTGTACGCAGATCACTGAGTCTGAAGCAGAGATTGATGACTGCGTCTTCGCGTTGGGTGGGCATGACCTGATGGTGTACGCTCACGTCGGTACAGGAACAAGTTGCTTTGACACATGTAACGGTACAGGAACAAGTTGCTTTGACACATGTAAAATGTGCATGACGTTTTGGCAGAAATTGATGTTTTTAACAGCTACATCTGAAACAACTACAGTGGTACATGTAGTGCTTGAGGTGTTGGTATAATCACCGTTTACCTAATATCCTTATCCTAAACAATACTTATCACAAAATTGGTGTTTTAACTTTATGTGACAATCACCTTTACTACATCTAGATCTGCAGCTACGTTATGTGACGTGACACTACTGCTGCGTCATGTGATGTGACACCTTGCCCTTAAGCCACATCATGTATGGACAACTGCCACTTATGCTGCGTCATGTGATGTGACAACTGACATTTATGCTGCGTCATGTGATGTGACAACTGACACTTATGCTGCGTCATGTGATGTGACAACTGGCACTTATGCTGCGTCATGTGATATGACAACTGGCACTTATGCTGCGTCATGTGATGTGACAACTGGCACTTATGCTGCGTCATGCGATGTGACAACTGACACTTATGCTGCGTCATGTGATGTGACAACTGGCACTTATGTTACGTAATGTGATGTGGCAACTGGCGCTTATTCTGTATCATGTGATGTGACAACTGCCACTCATGCTGCATCATGTGATGTACCAGTGGACGCTGGACTGAACTGCTGCGCCATACGATGTGGCACAGATGCTGTTTAATGCGATGTGACAACCTATTTTCCAAATTTTCAGGATTTCAGGGACACTTTATAAGTAAAACCAATATATATAAGTTCAGTGCCACAATAATTAAGTGTTGGTACTGTTAAATGTTAGCTAATTGGCATTTCAAGTACACTTCAACCACTTATCTAGCAGTTACTGGTTACCCCCTAATTACATATTGTATCACAGTTTCACACAATGCAGATCACTCTTGGGCGTCTACACCTAGATTCAAAATGCGCTTCAGACGGTATAGCATAATCCCCTTTAACATTATGGATAATAAAAGTGTAAAAGTTTTCTGAACCCTCCCTGTTCGTATACATTCAGTATTTCCATGATTTGCACCTTGGAGATGCCTTGATTATTGTAAGCAAACGTTACATGCATGCATCGCTCAGTCGATTATTTTCTCATGATCACAAATATATTCGCATTTATTTGTTTACCTCAAGACGGTAACATGAAACACGTGTTTCTTATGTTATCACATACTAGTTTGTCCCCGTCTTCCTGTGATGTCTGAAATGGTGTTTATGAGTTTGACATGCACCTGTCATGTTCAATTCCACTGCCACTAACTCAATGGGAACGATGCACCGATGCCTTAAATTGCTTCCACACGCCTTCGGCATCGGTCCCTTGAATTCATCATCAAAGAACACTGTTTATATCCCCCAGGCCTCCTCACCTAAATATATTCATACGAAACAGATACCCTTGTGTGGAATGATATAAACGTTGATGTATTAACATACAATTGTCTGTCTAATCAGTTCCTACGATTCTGTAAAGATTCAAACTCCACATACATTGCAAAAATCTCAAAGATCTATAAATATACTATATAAATATATTTGAACTTTAAGTCCACAACCTGAATCAGAGTGGCAAGGCCGCCGGCAATATACAAAATACAAATAGATCCAGTTGATTTCATTGCTAAATATAATATGAAGCTTGGATAAAGAAAGAACGTGATAAGAAATTATATATTAGCTAGACAGTGGTATTTGTGCATTAGAAACGGGCTCCTTCTGGGGTAGAAAGCTGGTAGAAATTTCAAGCTACGTATATAACTGTCAGTTCCAATGTGTAAGGAGGAACGTGTTTCATTGCAAACCGGAATTTGTTTTGACAGACACAGTAATTGAGTTTAATTGGAAAACCGGCATATAGTTGAAGGTTTGTTTAGCTTTGTAATGCCTTTCAGGATAAGAAACTAACGTCCACTGTCTTGGGATGTAAGGGTGAACATACATATACAGACACGCGCGCAGGTGGTCTTCTATTATAAGCCACGTCAGGAAACATTTGAATCAGGGAACAACTGGTAGAAAACAGCTAGTGATGTTAACGCTTCGCACGAGAACGCCGTGATAAGTGGATGTTCTGTTTGTTGGAATATCCAGTGTATGACGTTGGTATTGGTCCTAACAAAGCAGAACCACACATGCCATACAGAGTAATCCTGCACCATGACCGATGAATATATTTATTTTATGAAAAAATAATAATCTAGAAACGCATACAAAAGCAAGTGTAGCCAGCTAAAGCTAGTTCTATTCCACAATCAGCAATGGGAATTATTATATATTTTTAGAGTCAAGAAGGCTATTGTGTAATATAAGATTTCAGAGACTAAATGTTAGTCTATATAGAAAGTACAATGGGTGGGAATATCATGGTAGACACCCAACTTCAATACCCCTAATACAAAACAGTGTCATCGACTACTAAATAATGCATTCTTATCTGAAGGTTAATATAAACTGAACCGCTAAAGAAACGTCACTTCATGAAAACACTTCATAAGAGTTTCTCTTTGAAATATCAATGCATTTTTTGGAGGTATCTCGTTTTTGGATTTGTCTATATCCACATTTAATGTAAACGGCCACAGCGTGACACAAAGAGAGGTATAATGGGTTAGCCAAAGGCAGCTTAACAAACGACCATGGTACAATGTCCCGAATGCTTTCCACGAAAATCAAAATTTAATTGCGTTTCCTTGTTCTTTTTCTAATAAACGGCGCCCTAATACGTGGATTTAACATTCTTGTATCGTTACTAGTGCCATGCCAAGACTTATGAAGAATCAGAGAAACCAGGCTTTATGACGACTGCACGCTGCCCAGGCTGCACGAATGGTTGCCAATGAGAACCACCAACAGATTACAGCAATGATACTAGGTTACCAACAGCATGCAGTGGTTTCTTTTGCGGTTCAGTATACTATTCACACCAAGAAAAGATATTGCTTCCTGAAATAAGGTAGCATGTGTTACTAGACATCATGTCAGGTCCTGCCGCCCCTACACGACCTGTGTACGACCTACACGCCCATGTATCTATATGTAGTTACATATAAACTATACTTAATAAATCATGTTGGGGATCACGAGTAATTTTCGGTAGTGAAGACTAAACACACCATTTCATAAAAATACCCCTACAATATTCATGATTAAACTTATTTCAAGGCTCTTTGCTTCATGGCATTCATTCACCAGATGAAGGAGTAAGCATATACTCCGAAACGTTTTGTTCCTCATAGTAAACAAGACATCCATATATTCTCTTCCTCATGTGTATCACTTCTAAATGCCTTTCAAAGACCTAAACTTATGTTTAGAAATGTTGATGTTTAAAACTACAACAGCAAGGAACATTTCGTAAAAGTGTCGTAAACTCGAATGACACAGTGACTCTTTTTATACTTTTGTTATGCGCATGTTGATGTTTACATGTCTGTGCGACAACCTGCTACTGACACATTCGTTGTTGGAATACACAACAGTGATATGTAGACAGTAATTGAACTGTTAGTAGGTTACCAGTCTCCTGCACGGCGTGCCAGCAGCTGACATTCACCCACTGTTGCAATATACAAAAATAGTCGTCGGCATTGATGGATCGGTATTTATAACTCTTGTTTCAATTATGTGTGAATTGACAGGTGCTCGAATTCACGAGGACATTAGCTCTGATAGAATGCATTCTAATGCATTGCCATACGTATCTGGAGTCAATTAGTTATTCATGCTTATGTCACAGACATGTCACGCATACACTCCAATTCCATTCACACAACTACTCTGGACATGTCCTAGTTTTATGTCATCTGTTCGATTCACCTTGCATTGCGTCTAACTGGTTTGTTGCAGCTATGGAGTCAGTGAATGAAGAAGGGTATGCCAGTGCGACATTACAAGCACCGTTGTAGCAGATATGGTTCCGTGTTGTTTTCTGGGATACTGTTATAAGAAGCAAGAAAGGTAAGGTATCATTGACAAGACACAAAGAACGTTGACGCCCCACGGGTAGTTAATATGACATCACCTATTGAAGAGTACATTCATACCAGAAAGTGTTTCTGTTGATTTGGAAAACTCGTCACTGTGTGACGTATCCCCTACATGACAAGGTCAATATGGATCGGTCAGAAGACAGATTACCTGTTGTTACAGAAGTACCTGGCCTGTACACTCTTTACTACAACGTCCACGACAACACCATTACAATACCTCTTTATGAATATGTAATATCCTTTTCATTTCACCATAAATGACATAATTAAGGGTTTTTGTAAAATTCCCATATTGATCAAATAATTAAAGGCGCCCATCACACACAAAGGGTCCGTTGAGTACATGAATTTACCCAGGTGGTTTATTGTGGCAACGTACGTCAATGCATACAATGATGGCAAGTCAGCGTTTAATGCATGCGTTATCGGCATCCTAACATGGATCATAATGGAGTCTGAAGTAACATACATAGTTATGCAATATGACTGTAAGTATTGATTTGCATGTCAACTAGAACACCAGATTTCACAAAAACACTCGACAGTCCGGGCTCGATAAGTAAAGCAATTTATATACACGCTTGTTTAATTATTTATTACTTCAGCTACCTCCTTGCATGGAAACACCAATTATATATTACATCCATGTCTGTACAGTTGCTATCTAAGCTGATTAAATTATTGTTTACGCGTTAAGGTTATTGAGCAAAGTAACTACACTTGTCTCTTATATGTGTCTCGTTAGAAGGAATTAACAAAACGGCTTCTCAAACTTATCCGGGGAGTAGTTTACCCCCAGGGTAATGAATTGGACATGAAATCGACATCAATCAATTTTAAACACAAATGAGATGGAACAACCTTCTTCTATATGTTTGTACTCTTCTCAAGTGAAGTCAATAAATCATAAATCGTGGAGAGGAAGCAGGCAGTGGCTTAACAAAGATTACACGGGATAACTCTCGAGCTAAACATTGATCATTAGCTTTGGGAGGCATTTCACATCATCGGTCCGGTCAAGTAGATATCATTACACAAACCCTGGTGTCAGGATAGTATACGCACACATTGTAAGTACCTTTCAATATTTATGACTATGTCGGCTTTTGTCAATAGAAATGTCTTGCAGTTCATCAAAATTATTATGTGCCGGTATGGCTGTAATGTGCTGATTATTCAGCTGTTAGAGTTCACTGTATAAATCAAAAAGCTGAGTGAGGTGTGATCAATTTTAGTTGAAATGTGTTGGGAGTCTAGAATGCTAATCCGATCTTTAATTACCATTTAATGGTCAACAATTACTTACAATGAGCTAATAGGATTACATTTGCCGCTTTATCGTATGTGAGCACACACGACGCTCATACTTGTCCCCTACCGTGGCATACACGAAGTATGGGCACGGCAGATAATTCAATGCATTTCAGCATCGCAAATTGGGCGCGATGCATATGACCGAAATGAATGAACCTCGTTTAGCAGCCACAAGTTCTACGTCCTTTCTATTCAGTCACTTGTTATTTTACACATATGACGAGCAAGTATGGTTATCAGGCAGCATCGACCTTTTTAATGAATTGATGAGATGGCTCTGAACGTCGCCTTAAACAGTATTGATGTGGTGTCGTGGCGTTACACGAAGATGCACTTCATACAGACGTGTAGTTACACGTAGATTACCACATACAGACTTGTAACTACACGTAGATGAATGACATACAGACGATATAGCTACACGTAGATGTACGAGACACGTACCTAGAGAAACACGTAGATGTACGGGACATACAAACCTGCACATGTAGCTACAAATAGATGATCCATACTGGACATGCATGCGCGGCACACATATATTAAACTATACATGCCAGCTGGGGAGGAACACGTGCTCCTTGGTACACACCTGCGAGAGGAGACCGTGGCCTCGGATTGATCAGTAATTGATTTAATCTGTCACCTGTATGCCCTCACAAGTCTTGTCGACGATGTAATGGTCAGGAATACATCGTCAGGTCAGGTGATCTTTCATAGTCGGTGATATCTCTCTTCGGATAGCAACAACATCAGGAATTAAAACACATCTTTGACGTCATTCTATTGTTTGAACGCTCCATTATTTTTCAGGAATGGAGAGTTGCTTGTCAACTGTACATTATCTTGAAGCAGCATTTGAATTTTTCAAATATTTTCAACTGCAGAATATTTTGTCAAAGTGTAAAAGTAGGGATGAGTTTTAAGTAGGGGAATATCCTCGTAACTCTCAATTCCTTAAAAATAATGTGCCTCGGCCCCTGCGGGGCCTCTGCTCCATTATTTTTAAGGAATGGAGAGTTACTCGGACATTCCCCTCTACGTAATGTTGGCCGTGTAATGAAAACCTGCGGGGAATAATGCTGTGAGATGGAAGGAGTGAGTGAGTAAGTTGGGTTTAACGCCGCTTATAACAGTACTCCAGTTATAGCACGGCGTGTCAGCTTAATGTGGGAGGAAAGCCCGAAGTGATGCAGGTCTCAGACGTTTACCACTTCGGTGAAATCTACGGGCACGGGTATGGTGCTGACAAACCTGGAAACATAATCAGGAAACGGAAGGACGAAGGCAATAGAAAACATTTACATCACTAGCTTTTGTCTGATATCAGTGACACTTTGGGATCGGAGTGAGTTGCGGTGTTTAATAACAACCTGGCAACTAAACATCTGCTTTTGTTACACGACCACCGCAATCATTTATTTTGTTCTGCAAATTAGAGAGGATTAAATTGTAAAGAAAATGTATAATAGCCGCTGGCAGGGTATTCGGCTCCATGTTTTCTGTGTGGTTGCCGAGAGAGCAGCTGTGGTGGATTCTAGGGATTAACTGGCTAAACGGCTTATTTCTCATAATCTCGAGGTGGCCATTCTCCAGTGTGCTAATTGGGACTATTATAGACCGTGTTGTTGCGCAATCGGTTTCTAAGGTAGTTTGTGTCAAACATACAAGGCAATAGCTTTGATTTGTCTTCATTCGGTCATAGTAAGCAAGACCTACGACAACACAAGAGAAGACCGGACGAATCATCAAAATGACCGTTCCTTTATCTGATACAAGACTGAGGGCGCCTAAAGGCTTCCCAAATATATTGGAGGGTTTCGCACGAGAGGTATTGCGATCACAGCCTAAGAATGTGTATGCATTTGGACAACAATATTTTGAAAATGTGTTGCGAGCTCGAGACTCCGGCGAACGCGACCCCGCTGAACATGGGGCTAATATGGAAGACGTCTTCTACAATAATACTTCGTTTAAGGAACCGACAACTGATGTCTGTAATCCTCAGCATCAAACTGCTGCCCTGACTATCCAGACCAACTACCGTCAACATGCCGCTGCGGAGAAAGTACAAGATATACGTGAAGAAGAGGCAGCTGTGGCGATTCAAGCTGGGATACGCGGGTATATAGACAGACAGAGAATAAGAGACATGAACCCAACCGAGGAACAGCAAGACAAGTTGGAAAAAACAATGTTTTCCAAAGATACAGAGGCTTCACTCAATCAACAGGCCAATGGGGGTATCGACGAGGTAGACATCGACCTGAACGACCCGGATGTGGAAAAGGCCGCCATTAAGATACAAGCTGGCTTCAAAGGTTTTAAGGTCAGAAAGGATGCTATTAAACAGTCAAGCCAGGAGGTGCCTCATGAACTGAAACAAGAACAAATTGAAGGAACATTAGAGCAAAATCAAAATAGTGAAAATGACCAGGAAGGCCAAAGCGACGTAGATATTGACTTGAAAAACCCGGATGTTGAGAAGGCCGCTATTAAGATCCAGGCTGGCTTCAAAGGTTATCAGGTCAGAAAGGCTGCTAGTACAGATCCACGTGCAAGTCAAAGGAAATCACGCGAACTAGATCAAGATGAAAACAAGGTAAAGGTAGAGCAAAACAAGAACGAGTCAGGACAAGTTCAAGGTGATGATAATGTAGAGCAAAGCGCCGCTAATTAATGTACATCAAGGACAGAACGAGTTTCAAGTGGAACAAGCAGGGGTAACCATGGCAACAAGGTTATATTGTTCTGTTGGTGCTGAGGAACTTTAAAAAAGAAACATTCAACCTAACAAAGGACTGCTGGGCTGATATACCTGGGAAGGATGTGAAGTGGATCGTGATGATATACGCGTAGAATGTCTGGAATAGGACGTATTTCCGTACTGACCTGATGAGGCAGGGTTATAATATCATTGTCATGGAAAAATATGTGTCAGTGAGTATGCGATATGTCGAACACAAGGTTCAATAGTGACACGTCATCTGTGTATTGCTTGAACTCAAGTTTGATTGTTTGAAACATGCCAGGGAAACTGCAAGGTGTAAATGTAACTTGTTTATCTTTTTTCCATCGCAATTTTTGTCTAATGAAAAAGAGCCTACATTAGTCCATTACACTATTTCTAATTTGAATCAGACGGCCATCGTAAACATGTATGTAGAATGTTGCAAGCTTAAGAGCAGTATCTAAATGCTTCTACTCGTCTGATGACACCAATGAGTGCGGATGCTGTAAAACAGCTAAAATTTTGATATGTAAGACTTAGATACAGTTATACCACAATGAAGTTCCTGAATGTAGCAGAACGCTAACACACCAACATGTTTTATGTAACTGTACTTATTGTACATGTACATGCATATAATAAATCTATTGCCGACATGGGTTTAGTTTCCCCTTGTATTCAGTAATGCATGTGACTGTGTTATAGGTATCTTCCAGCGCGACACGGGCTATCATCTTGTTAAATAAAAGCGACAAAACACTTTTCATGTTCATTAGAAATCTCTGCTAAAACAGTCATTTCCCACTATATCATGAGCATGTCTTTGTGTTTCACTATCAACTAATTTTTGATACTAGGTGTTCGCCAAAAGGTGTCACAAACACATCCAAAGGAAAGTTAATTGTTCACCTGAAAACATATCGTACAAGTCAAACAGGGGATTGCGTCGTACATTATTTTTTGCGTCAAATTTGGAAATGTCTACCATAAAACTGTTTGAAAGCTTTGAAAGGTTTGAAAGCTTTAAAGAAATACTAGCTTTTTTCGCAAGCAACTTCAGTGGTATTCCAAGAAGATAATTACACATTCGACTTTATTGCTCTATTTGTGAATACCTTAAGACAGGAACATGTAGAACTGTCAATATCAATGCTTTGCTAATGTTTGCGTTTGCAATAAACACCCTGAGCAGACATTTCACTGATCATTGGCTGTTACAGATGGTTAACGCTCCTGGAGATCGAAAGACATTGCAAACAGAGCCAGTGAGATATGAGGATGAAGGATATAAACACTGTTATCAGGATGGTGTATTGGTGGTTGATATGCATAGGTCGCTCCACAGAATGTACATACACATGTATCTTCACGTAGTTAACAGATAAAAAGTAGAACTGATTTCATACATATTGTTTCATGAATGTGACCTGAACTTCACAACACAGCAACACATCTTTGTTTCATGAATGTGACCTGAACTTCACAACACAGCAACACATCTTTGTTTCATGAATGTGACCTGAACTTCACAACACAGCAACACATCTTTGTTTCATGAATGTGACCTGAACTTCACAACACAGCAACACATCTTTGTTTCATGAATGTGACCTGAACTTTACAACACAGCAACGCATCTTTGTTTCATGAATGTGACCTGAACTTCACAACACAGCAACACATCTTTGTTTCATGAATGTGACCTGAACTTCACAACACAGCAACGCATCTTTGTTTCATGAATGTGACCTGAACTTCACAACACAGCAACGCATCTTTGTTTCATCAATCTGACCTGAACTTCCCAACGCAGCAACACATCTTTGTTTCACCAATCTGACCTGAACTTCACAACACAGCAACACATCTTTGTTTCATCAATCTGACCTGAACTTCACAACACAGCAACACATCTTTGTTTTATGAATGTGACCTGAACTTCACAACACAGCAACACATCTTTGTTTCATCAATCTGACCTGAACTTCACAACACAGCAACGCATCTTTGTTTCATGAATGTGACCTGAACTTCACAACACAGCAACACATCTTTGTTTCATCAATCTGACCTGAACTTCACAACACAGCAACGCATCTTTGTTTCATCAATCTGACCTGAACTTCACAACACAGCAACACATCTTTGTTTTATGAATGTGACCTGAACTTCACAACACAGCAACGCATCTTTGTTTCATCAATCTGACCTCAACTTCACAACACAGCAACACATCTTTGTTTCATCAATCTGACCTGAACTTCCCAACACAGCAACACATCTTTGTTACTTTCATCAATCTGACCTGAACCTTACAACACATTTACACATCGAATATCGATACTGCATGATACTTTATATATGGCAAGTGTAAATGCACTACCACAGTGAGTGCACATGCAGTTTCTAAAATATCATTACGTTTCATTTTCCCGATAGAGAAATTCATGCAATAATGACATTTTTTCTATTAAAACTTAGCCGAACAAAATCAGTTAAGACAAGATATTTATTCAGTCATAAGCACCTGAGTTATCAGTCTATCGCCATATTGAATTGGTGGATCCACGTTGATGTAGCTCAAACCATTTTGAGGGGCATCTGTGTGTACAGCAACGGGTCATTAGATGTGTGTTCGTTTGTCTCTCACACGACCCATGTTGTAGCCACAGCGGTGTCATCGCAGTTACCATTACAGTCTGGCGAAATGGGTAGCTAATTAATCAAACGCTTTGATAATTTGTCAATAACAAGCCATGCCAGCAGATATGCCCAAAACACGCCAATCAGTGGTCACAATAAGTCCGCTTTTGACGTTCTCATCACCTGTCAATCTTCGAAATTTTAAGCTTTAAATAAGAGTAACTTATAGAAAAAAGATCTACGTAGAGGACTGAGGACTGTATAGGCATATCTAATGCAGCCTCCATGGCAATGATGCAGTATTGGACCGGGCTGCTGGGGCAGGCAACAGGGCGTATTGATGAGCTTCATGTTAAAATCAATTTCGTTTTAGATTAGCGTAATTTCATGATGTGTGGTTGGCAGGCAAGCATCCCTTGTGACCCTGTGAATAACAAGGCTGTGATGACGGGGAAGAAATAAAGCCAGTATTAAAGTTAACAAGTACACTATCGCGCGCAGATATTCCCAGTTTTAGGATTCTGCATCCCATAAAATAGTTAATGTATTTAGTAATGGTTCGCCTTCATATAATTGCACTATGTAATTGTTTCTCTAGCTTAAACACCTCCGCGAAAAAGCTCAAATGATAATTAATTGAAATTGTAGTTTAAAAAAAGAAGTGCGATAGAGTGCCTGGAATTCATTTAGCAAACACCGTACTTGTTTTCAAGCGAGTATATTGGGCGTTTTGTGTCATTTGCAAAGTGCCTTCAATTTCGTTTATTGGCCTACATGTTTACACAGATTTAACAGGTGAAACCACAGCCAATTTATGACAGGTTCCAGCGCATGACTACTGTTTATCAAACTTTTCAGACAAGTTCCTGTGCACCAAAGAGAGAGATAGACACATGTTGAAGCCATGTTATGACGCTTACATCTTCAACGATATATACTCACAGTGTTGTATTTCTGTCAATGTTATTGTTTATCATTAAGTTGCAACAAATATCTCCTAACAAGCGGAGAAGTATACTTGATCGCGGCATATCTGACTGGGTAATGTCTTATTTCTAGTGGTCAAATACCCGTAAAATTGATATTCACAGACAACTGGCTGGAACCCTATTTTAGACAGTGACGCCAGGCCGTTGACCTGGTTATGCTAAAAAACTGCTCAATCACAAAATACATGTCGGAGCTCACTTACACTGGAACTGTCGTAACTCCCATACTCTAACATAAACTTACATTAGCAGAGTGCATGGCTTACATTACATAAGCTCTACAATCGCATTGTTTTGTTTGTTTATTTTTTAATGCCGCACTCAGCAATATATCACCTATATGACGGCGGTCTGTATTATTCGAATCTGGACAAGACATTCCAGTGATCATGAGCATTGATCTACGCAATTGGGATAGCCTGACCCCCCGATCCGAAAATAGCAGAATATCACAGATAACAGAGGTATCGTGTGGTAATTCGCGGATAATAAACGGAAGGATAAGATGTAACATGACAATCAACAGAACATGTTGGCGGTATAATGTATGGGTACAGACAACCAAGTAAGACAACATGCGCGTGAGGTCAAAATATGAACGTTTCAGATGACTTGATCAAGAATGGGTCATGTCCCTACATTGGGTCAAGCCCCCGTTTATACGGTGTCCGAATCAATCGTCCAATGACATTTTAAGGAACGCTTGTCCATTACTCTTGATATATATATATAGATATAGATATACCGATAAGCTGCCAGAGGGAGTCAGTTACAATACAAGCAGGATGGGAACGGTCCTTGAGAGACAAAATATGCACCACCATGGCCCGCAAACAGCAGAACTTCTGGGGACCATATGCTGTCTCGGAAGTGCTGTCTTGTGACCCTTCCATGGACAAAATACAGTGGCGTTCTGGCAGTCATAGTGATCCTACCCCATAGTATTACAGACCGGTCCACAAATGTGTCGTTTTGGCTTACGTTGGCGTTCACATGACGTTCGTAAAGACGCATCAAGGGACGTCCACCCCTACCCAGATAGTCCAGGGTAAATCTGGACTTATCCGAAAAAATACACGATCCCATCGACGATTTGTCCAGTTTCTACCCTCGGGACACCAGTAACGCCTGGCTAGAATGTGTCGATTTGTTGACAGTGGTTCAACACATGTTTTTCAGCATGCAGGAGATTTCTAATCGTCTGGTCAGTAACTCCGGTGGCATGGCACGGCTATTTGATTGGCCGTTTGGGCTCGATTTCTTTACATCTAACATTTTGTGTTCTACCAGTTTGCATCATGGCAACATAATGGCGTCCATCACGTTGCTGACGGCCCAATCTGAATATAAACACTGCATTAAAGCAAAAAAAATAGAGTGAGTGAGTTTGGGCAATATTCCAGTTAAATCACAGCTTCATGTGCCGAAGTGGTACAGGTCTTAGACGTTTACCATTTTAGTGAAACGTACTGGAACTGGTGTTGTGTAGGGTGCTGACAGACCTGGAAACATAATCGTGGCGAACTGGGATTCGAACCCAAGATCATAGATTTTTGGCGTGCCCAAGGGACGCATCTATGTACACCGAATTGCGGCGCCTATTACGACTGGGCTACCCGTGTCCCCACCAATCTCGCACGGTAGCAATTATAGCAGGGAATGTTAGTGAACATTCTTCTACTAGTGCTGCTTTATATAAAGGTGAATATAATTGAACTGTGTACTGTTATTAAGCAGAAAGGGCTGTAGGTACGAGCGTTGGTTGAAAAGCAGCTTTGTTTTTGTTGTTGTTTAAAATCGCACTCATGGTGATAGACACCATGAGCATCGATCTTCGCAATTAGGATACGACAAGCTTGGGTTGACCAATTTGGAGTCCAACTGTGATGGATTGCGTTAATAGAGCTGGTTGCTAGTTATTTACCATCATAACATAATCTCGCCCGAGATCCACACACGTCTACCAACAATGCTGTATTGCACACTAGTGTAGAAGGCTTTCTCCTGGTGGTGTTAAAGTCCCCCACAGCAGAAATGACGTCATCGTCTTTTGCGTATGCTTGCCAGACAGTTAGTTCTATTTTCAAGTTTGGGAAGACGTGGAAATCTGACCGTGCCAAATTTGGTGAATACGGAGGAGTTCAAATCGACACTCGTGCATTACTACAACGACGGCAACGTATTTTTGCACTCATATATTTTCCTAGTGGAACAGTACACCTTTAGTGAGTTTTACACGACTTTTAACCTTCATATTGCCACGCAGCCGCCTCAGCGAGGTAGTCCACCTGTAGAATCCCTTTGGAATCCCAGAAAACCCAAGCCATCACCCTACCAACTGATGGATTAGAGGTTGCCCCCTTCTTCGTAGGAAATGTTGATAATGGTAAATCCAAGACTCATCCATGGTTACAAATCGCTCAACAAAATCAACTGGATAAGGTTCAAAACGACGTTAATTCTCACGAGAGATGATGCTTCTGATCAGGGGTCAGAAGCCATGGAATCCAGCGTGCTGAAACATGTGTCATGCCTATTTCATTACTCAGACGGTTCTCAACTCTCTCATGAGAAATGCCTATTGTATTGGCTATGTGACGTGTCGTTGATCATCCATATGTATTTTATCAACCCTTTCCTTCGTGGTGGCAGTTCGCCTTTGAACTTCGCTGCCAACTTCTCAACGGTGGCAGAAAACAAAGCATCAGAGCAAGTTGACACCATGGCTGCATGGCTGGCTGTTGGAGTTATTCCTTTCATTCTGGTTATGATTGATGACAACACGGTATCCAATTTGAGTTTTAGAACGTTGTTGGTGTTTGGATCCTGGCCCCGCCTAGCGAATTCACGTAATGCAGTGGATCCGTATGCATGCCAGTTATCATTCTCTCTGGGGAATAAATATTTGTTTATTGAATAAATAAATGCATTTGAGATATCGAAATGTCCAAACAAACAATTTGTGGACATTCTTTTCCTTATCTTATACACGTTAAAACGAATGGACCGATATTTTTAGGGATGTCTGCAAAAGCAGAAGAATTGTGAAAATAGTTAAATTTGCAAATAGGTGTCAGAGAAACTGCATTATACAGGTGTATACAAAAAGTCTCACAACTTAGGAATTTCAAACAAATATCAAGATCTACAAGTAAATTCATCAGCGTTTGTATTGGGAAACAGCGTGTAAGTTTTCAAATTGTTATTTACACAGCGACGTCACGTAAAAGATAACTTCGTCCCTGCGTGATATAACGCTGATGTAGTTCATGTTCATTTCGCATTTGTGTTGTGCGGTTGCACCTGCGAGTTCAAAGACATCATGAACATAATTATCTGATATTCCAGCTACTTCCTCCTCGAAAGAGATAATACTGTCTTTCTTTCAGTTCACCAGAACAAAGATAGGAAGCAAAGTGGATTCCCACAGAATCACCGATAAGATGGCGAACGATAATGAGTGATGACTGACAGACGAGTCTCTGAAAAGGTATGCATTTAATCAACAAAAAAGAGTTTCGAATATCCCGGATCACGCTCATCTAATGTGATGTTCTGTTTGAACGACAGGAAATTTTAAAACGTTTTGTTCGAATTCATGAACGTATCTAGACCAAAGTATATATCAATGTATGAATTCAGTAAAAGGGTGCATGCACTTAACTCAATTATTTCAATCATGAGCAGGTGTTCTTTGTTAATACCCGCAGTCCGAGGACAGCAGACAGTCGAGCTATTTATTCATAACATTCTCCTTTTATGTAAACCGAAAGGCTTCGCTTAAGAAGTATCTATACGATAAGATAGCTGTATGTCAGAAAGAAAATCCTCATTCATCAACATGGTGTACGTGCACAGCGAAAGGTTTACGAAAAGTCAGTTTTACTTTGGAGTCGATATTATCTCTATACGGATTCGCATTTGTTGTATTTGAGATTTTGTTTTCAGTAAACTTTAGCTTCAAGATAGATGAGTGTGTACATAGGTAAACTGGCCAGGTAGTGATTGTAAACAGACCTCGCTATCTGCAGCTCCAGCTGGTTCGGGAGGACACGCTATCATGATACTGCCATTGCTCTGTTTATGCTCGAGGGAGCACTGCATTAATATAACTATGGGGCCACAAAACCCGCCTAAATAGCGGCTTTACAGATCAGCAGCTGTTGATAACACCGCTCCTGATTAACATAACGCTGAAGTCAGAAATGCAATTTAATAATGGCCAATGGTTTCACTTGATCAGACAGATTTGCGGTACGCGGGGTATGGTCAACGGAAGTATACATTCTCTTAGAATGTGATTGAGGTTTAGGCAGAATTCATTGACAGTATCTGGTGACCGCCTCCGTGGTCTAGTGGTAGAACGTCATACCAAAAAACGCTAAAAGATGGTGCTTGTTGTTATCCTGCCTGGCGCTCGGAGTGTAGTATTCATGTTAAATTAACTGCGCCATGATATCTCAGTGGGCTAGCACTATAAAATCGGCATTAGTCCGGACTAGTACAAGCAGCCACAAGTCGCTATATGCAAGTGCAATAATCTTGAACGCGATGTTAAACACCAATATCTGGTATTAATTATTATAGACTTTTTCTTTAAATTACGTAAATATATCATAGAATATGGACAAGCGAGTAGATTTATGAATCTAAAATGACAGTAATAGCAAACTTGATTCAAGTCGTTAAAATCCCGCTTTGTCCGAGATCTCAAATTTTATGATTTATATGATTGCAGCAAATAATCATTACCCCAATAATACAGATACAATATCTCATATTGAGACATGGCCTTTTTTCAGCGTCGAGCCAGGTTTAATTCGAGCACCAGCACGTGTAGCAGTCCCTCGGGTAGAGAATAGGTCTGCAGCAACAGGCGTAAAAGGCGACTAACGGGATCGGGTGGTCAGGCTCACTGACTTGGTTGATGCATGTCATCGTATCCCAATTGCGTATATCGATGCTCATGATGTCAATCACTGGACTGTCTGGTCGAGACTCGATTTTTTACAAATATTTATTGTTGAACGCGGCGTTAAACAAACACAAAACAACAGTTATAGTCCCTGTTTCAGATTGAAGTAGCTGTCTCTTACATGTGGTTAAGATTTCCTGAAGATTGCATCACTCCCGAGTGGGTTAATTCAGCATGCATGCGACCTGCAGCAGCGCATCCAGAGCTTAATGACTGGATGATGTGAACCAGTTGATATGGAACGCTTTCACTTGTAAATATATCGCATAACTATCACAATACATTTTAATCAAACCCGTGTGGTGCAAGACCCTGCATTATGGCGACTGTGGATCTATGGAGGTAAATCTCCTGTCAACAAGGGATACAATCTGAAGTAGCTTGAGGAGCCACTAGGCTTTCAATTACACGTCCCAACAGATCTTAATTTTATTCGTTATTACTTCCGCAATCGACATGCGGACGTCAGTAATAAATGGCCAATTACCCATCTGAATTTTGTCATGGTTAATCTGCTGCCAGCGACCTTGACAGAGACTGTACTTCAGCCAAGTCATATTGCCGTGTATTGCATCTGACACGGCTGTCGACCGTTCATCTTTACCCTATGTCCTCACATACGCCATGAATCTAATTTATAAGGGTGAATAGTGCACATAATATTTTGGATTAGCAACTATGAAGACAGGCTAACAATATGCAGTACGCGTTTGAAGTTATCCTAACAATATTCGGCATACGGAGATGTCATATATACGGCATTCATTGGAAGCTAGTCGAACATTAATGGCAAACGTGTTAATACACTCTTGCAATTTGTTCACGTTGTATAACAAATGGTTGTTGAAGATTAAGTTGCCATTATGCACGTGGCCTATATATATTCGTGTCATAGGAATGAGTCACTGTATCGCTTTATATAATAATATACGTAAGCTCCTATTATGATTGAAAACAGCACGCCAGCCAAGCAGTTATTAGATATCTGTTCCTGTGACAGGATATAAAACAGGCAGGCATGAGTAAACAATGTAACTGCTATAATATCAGCACTAAATCAGCACACGGTGGTTGACTGGCCAATTCAGAAATACATGCCATATGATCTGTAGTTGACCTGCTGTTCTGCACTCAGTGTGTAATCGATCTTGACCAATTGATCTGCGGATCAACTGAACCCCTGCTGCGACAGGTTTGAAATATAACAAGTATAGATCTTCCCCTCTTTCTCCGGCAGTTACCACGGTGACACCTGCACCAGCCCAGTATGGAGGATGGGAGTGCTCAGGCCCTCGAAGTCATCATTAGTCAGAGCGATCAGTTTGGCTTCTTCCAGAAACGTACCTTCATCGCCACAAGTTTCCTACAAGCAATAACAATCTCCGTTCTTGTGTACACGTGTGTGGCCACCCCGGAACCCTCCACCGATGACCCGTGTACAGTGGCCAGTACTAATGGGGCGGAGCCGCTCAATGAGACATTTACATCCTTCAATCAAACAGTTTCTGTGGCATCCACAAACATTGCTCACACAAGCAAGGCATGTTCCTCCACGGATACCGGCAGCTTTATATTCATCCTGACCCTTCATGTGCCAAAGGTAATGGAGGACCCATCTTGAGGGGGACTTTACATTGTAAGCTCATCCGAATGACGAGCAATGTATGGTACCTAAACTATGTTTGGTGCACTGTTTCCATTCCAAATGTCCTTATCAATCTGTATCTGCTAGCATAACCAGTTGTTAAATCGATACGTAATGTCATGTGGGTGCGTTCGGTTACATAAATTCCCTTCATTCTGGTTTATTAAATAATCGTCTAAAATCTCATTTGTAAACGAACTAATGTTTTGGCATGTAGGGTAATTCAACTTAACCTCAGTGAAAATATATAGAGTTGATTATTTCCCCCCACAGTGGTTGCGTCCCCTGGACGGCTTGACCTTGTCTGAGTACACCGTATTCGGCCAAGTATCGGGTGTAATCCTAGGATCTCTGATTGGAGCGTTCTTTGGCGATGTGTACGGCCGGAGAAAACCTATGTTCGTGTGCTTTATATTGATGCTCGTCTTCCATATTCTGACGGGAGTAGCTGTCTCCTGGCCGGTCTTCGTTGTCTTCCGTATCATTGTGGGCCTGGCAGCAGGTAAGCGCCTACATGTATACGTTGTGGAATTTCTACTTATATGTTAACTTACTTTACATTATTCAGCATTAGGATTTAAAACAAATTAATCAATCTAAAGTAACTTAATATCGGTAACATCACATAATTCCTTCGGTTCTGTTTGCCGTATTTCAAGTTTTAATGGCGTTTGCTCAATTTTCAGTTGTTTTACATTTTACATGATCTAACAATCGCTATTTGTTGTAGTTGGACACCGTTGACTACATCTGCCTGTGAACTCAAATGTATTCTTGGTACCAACTACCTTGAGAATATTGTTTTTTGTTGTATGGTTATCTCAGCTCTTCTAGTATATGTATTACTCACCTAGTCAAACTGTCATTTGGGGCGGTCGGATAGCCTGGTGGTTAAAGCGTTCTCTCGTCACGCCGAAGACCCGGGTTCGATTCCCGACATGGGTACGATGTGTGAAGCCGATTTCTGGTGTCTGCCGCTGTGATATTGCTGTAATAATTCTAAACTCGGCGTAAAACCATACTCACTCACACACTCCTAGAAAGACGGTATGTGTGGATGGACGGTACTGTAGGTGCCTTGTACGTGTTGTAAGTGTTGGTCTCTGAAAATCCAAAGTCGAACACAGAAAGAGCACTTAGTCATTTGATCATAATCGTCAATACTGTTCTATTCGTCTTCAAACGCACGTGGTTAGCAGGAAAATAGTAAATGGATGTATTTGAAAAGGGTCGATAGATTAAGGATACACAATCACAGCGGGATTTAACGAATACCGGAAATACAGAACCAGGGAATGACATGCAACGATATCGTGCATCCAACAATGAAACTTTACAAACAAATGGCTGTGGACACATGCAGTATGTTGATGTATAACATCCGCTTCCATTGTCCCCAGGAGCATTCCTCGTAGTGAGCGTGGTGATGCCGATGGAGTGTATTGGGCAGGACTGGCGGGACGTGTGTATCTGTTCAGGGATGTGGACAATGGGTGTGGTCTTTCTCTCCCTAGAGACGCTCATTACGGAGAACTGGCGGTATCTAGCATTTCTATCTGGCGCCATCGGAACCCCATTTATAGGAACATATTAGTGAGTGACGTGTCTGTGTAACCCTGTCTGTCCTTCATCACATCTCTCTGTAACTTCATCTAATGTATATCTCGCAAATTACACGTACAGGGTTTGTTATGGTTGACTTATGGTAGATAGCTCCTAATACAGCCACCTGCTGATACCATGGTTAACAGGTCGAGTATATATGTTTGACTTCATATGTGTTCAAAATATATTCGCTGGTGTACTTACTTAATGTGATTCAAGCAGAGACATATAAAATATCTCTTCAGATGGATACTCAAAGGTATTGTAGCTTTAATTAATTTGTGTTGCATTTCAGTTAATGATGACATCCATGAAACGAAGTCCCAAACCAGTTAACCAGTTTTCACGATAAATGCAGCAAAACACATGGACAAGGATATAATCTCTATTACATTCCTTTCTCTTTGCCTTAACCTTTATCATTAACATCAAAAGTGCTTTCTTTCGAAGATGAACTTTATTTTTACAGCCTTGTGCCAGAAAGTGCTAGATGGTTGCTATGCCAACAACGCTTCAAATCATCAGAATCGGGAATTAGGGAAATGATATCTTGTAATGAGCACGCGGTGCCGGGAGTGACGTCACTTCTGGACAAAGCAAGGGCTTCTGTTGTCGGGCACATGCATCACAAGAAATACACATACTTAGACTTGTGTCATTCCGTCGATCGTATCAAGTGGACTATAGCCTTAGTGTACGTATGGTAAGTACAGGTGTCGACGACATTCTCACTGGAAATCCTTGTGTCACTGTATTAAATGTTAAAAGGAGACGAAAGTCGGGTTTTATTTGAAACGGGATAATACCTACAACGTGAAGAAAAAGTAGATCAAATTTACAAAGACAATGCTTAAAATATATAATGTAATATGACCGTTAGCCCTTGGGCATCTGTGCCGGAAATATGACTGTAAGATGTCACACAGGGAGATGAGTGTTTACATGTGGGAGGAAAGCTGATCCAGGTCACGGATCGTAGACGTCTACCTTGTTGTAAAACACCACGAGCAAATACCGGGTGCTGTGAAACCAAGGAATACAATTAGTGTGATTTAACCTATAAACCTAATGAACTGAACGTAGCATAACGCTCTGCAGCTGATACAATACCGATAGACATAGGTGACAGTAAGGCAAGCTAATTACAGTTGGGACGCATTTTCACTTTAACGATATCCATTGAGACACAGGCTGGCAATCACGGAACTGTTTTCATTTTAAATAACGAAATAATCACGAATGCAGGTTTATTTGAAAATATCGGTACTTAGTATTATAAAGAAATGAGAGGAAAGGAGTATATTCTGCATGCATGTCTGTTCAAACGTATTCGGTAATCGTTTCAAAATCTAAGACTCTGAATATATAAGCTTATTAACTCTACATGTACATGTAGAACAATCTCTATACCTCCACGTGTACATTAAGCTGTCTAACACTACATGTACATGTACATCAAGCTTGATAACTATACATGCACATCAAACAGTGTAACTCTACATGTACATCAAGCTGTAAAACTCTACATTTAAATCAAACAGTGTAACACTACATGTACATCAAGCTGTGTAAGTCTACATGCACATCAAGCAATGTAACTCTACATGCACATCAAACAGTGAAACTCTACATGCACATCAAACAGTGAAACTCTACATGCACATCAAACAGTGTAACTCTACATGTACATCAAGCTGTATAACTCTACATTTACATCAAGCTATATAACTCTACATGTACATCAAGCTGTAAAACTCTGCATGCACATCAAACACTTGATAACTCTACATGCACATCAAGGTGTATAACTCCACATGTACATCAAGCAGTGTAACTCTACATGCACATCAAGCAGTGTAGCTCTACATGTACATCAAACAGTGTAACTCTACATGCACATCAAGCAGTGTAACTCTACATGTACATCAAACAGTGTAACTCTACATGTACATCAAGCTGTGTAACTCTACATGTACATCAAGCAATGTAACTCTACATGTACATCAAGCTGTGTAACTCTACATGCACATCAAACAGTGTAACTCTACATGCACATCAAGAAGTGTAACTCTACATGCACATCAAGCAATGTAACTCTACATGCACATCAAACAGTGAAACTCTACATGCACATCAAACAGTGAAACTCTACATGCACATCAAACAGTGTAACTCTACATGTACATCAAGCTGTGTAACTCTACATGTACATCAAGCAATGTAACTCTACGTGCACATCAAACAGTGAAACTCTACATGCACATCAAACAGTGTAACTCTACATGTACATCAAGCTGTGTAACTCTACATGCGCATCAAGCAGTGTAACTCTACATGTACATCAAGCTTGATAAATCTACATGTACATCAAGCTGTGTAACTCTACATGCACATCAAGCTGTGTAACTCTACATGCACACCAAGCTGTGTAACTCTACATGCACATCAAGCAGTGTAACTCTACATGTACATCAAACAGTGAAACTTTACATGCACATAAAACAGTGTAACTCTACATGCACATCAAACAGTGTAACTCTACATGTACATCAAGCTGTGTAACTCTACATGTACATCAAACAGTGTAACTCTACATGTACATCAAGCAGTGTAACTCTACATGCACATCAAGCAGAGTAACTCTACATGTACATCAAGCTTGATAAATCTACATGTACATCAAGCTGTGTAACTCTACGTGCACATCAAGCTGTGTAACTCTACATGTACATCAAGCTGTGTAACTCTACATGCACATCAAACAGTGTAACTCTACATGTACATGAAGCAATGTAACTCTACATGTACATCAAGCTGTGTAACTCTACATGCACATCAAACAGTGTAACTCTACATGCACATCAAGAAGTGTAACTCTACATGCACATCAAACAGTGTAACTCTACATGCACATCAAACAGTGTAACTCTACATGTACATCAAGCTATGTAACTCTACATGTACATCAAGCAGTGTAAGTCTACATGAACATCAAACAGTGAAACTCTACATGCACATAAAACAGTGTAACTCTACATGTACATCACACAGTGTAACTCTACATGTTCATCAAGCTTGGTAAATCGACATGTACATCAAACAGTGAAACTCTACATGCACATAAAACAGTGTAACTCTACATGTACATCAAGCTTGATAAATCTACATGTACATCAAGCTGTGTAACTCTACATGCACATCAAGCTGTGTAACTCTACATGCACATCAAGCTGTGTAACTCTACATGTACATCAAGCTGTGTAACTCTACATGCACATCAAACAGTGTAACTCTACATGTACATGAAGCAATGTAACTCTACATGTACATCAAGCTGTGTAACTCTACATGCACATCAAACAGTGTAACTCTACATGCACATCAAGAAGTGTAACTCTACATGTACATCAAGCAGTGTAACTCTACATGTACATCAAACAGTGTAACTCTACATGTACATCAAGCTGTGTAACTCTACATGCACATCAAGCAGAGTAACTCTACATGTACATCAAGCTTGATAAATCTACATGTACATCAAGCTGTGTAACTCTACATGCACATCAAGCTGTGTAACTCTACATGCACATCAAGCAGTGTAACTCTACATGTACATCAAACAGTGAAACTCTACATGCACATCAAACAGTGTAACCCTACATGCACATCAAACAGTGTAACTCTACATGTACATCAAACAGTGTAACTCTACATGTACATCAACCTGTTTAACTCTACATGTACATCAAGCAGTGTAACTCTACATGTACATCAAACAGTGTAACTCTACATGTACATCAAGCAGTGTAACTCTACATGTACATCAAGCTGTGTAACTCTACATGTACATCAAGCAGTGTAACTCTACATGTACATCACACAGTGTAACTCTACATGCACATCAAGCAGTGTAACTCTACGTGCACATCAAACAGTGAAACTCTACATGCACATCAAGCAGTGTAACTCTACATGTACATCAAACAGTGTAACTCTACATGTACATCAAGCTGTGTAACTCTACATGCACATCAAGCAGTGTAACTCTACATGTACATCAAGCTTGATAAATCTACATGTACATCAAGCTGTGTAACTCTACATGCACATCAAGCTGTGTAACTCTACATGCACATCAAGCAGTGTAACTCTACATGTACATCAAACAGTGAAACTCTACATGCACATCAAACAGTGTAACCCTACATGCACATCAAACAGTGTAACTCTACATGTACATCAAACAGTGTAACTCTACATGTACATCAACCTGTTTAACTCTACATGTACATCAAGCAGTGTAACTCTACATGTACATCAAACAGTGTAACTCTACATGTACATCAAGCAGTGTAACTCTACATGTACATCAAGCTGTGTAACTCTACATGTACATCAAGCAGTGTAACTCTACATGTACATCACACAGTGTAACTCTACATGCACATCAAGCAGTGTAACTCTACGTGCACATCAAACAGTGAAACTCTACATGCACATCAAGCAGTGTAACTCTACATGTACATCAAACAGTGTAACTCTACATGTACATCAAGCTGTGTAACTCTACATGCACATCAAGCAGTGTAACTCTACATGTACATCAAGCTTGATAAATCTACATGTACATCAAGGTGTGTAACTCTACATGCACATCAAGCTGTGTAACTCTACATGCACATCAAGCTGTGTAACGCTACATGCACATCAAGCTGTGTAACTCTACATGCACATCAAGCTGTGTAACTCTACATGTACATCAAGCTGTGTAACTCTACATGCACATCAAGCAGTGTAACTCTACATGCACATCAAACAGTGTAACTCTACATGTACATCAAGCTTGATAAATCTACATGCACATCAAGCTGTGTAACTCTACGTGCACATCAAGCTGTGTAACTCTACATGCACATCAAGCTGTGTAACTCTACATGTACATCAAGCTGTGTAACTCTACATGTATATGAAACAGTGTAACTCTACATGTACATCAAGCAATGTAACTCTACATGTACATCAAGCTGTGTAACTCTACATGCACATCAAGCAGTGTAACTCTACATGCACATCAAGAAGTGTAACTCTACATGCACATCAAACAGTGTAACTCTACATGCACATCAAGCAGTGTAACTCTACATGTACATCAAGCTGTGTAACTCTACATGTATATGAAACAGTGAAACTCTACATGCACATCAAACAGTGTAACTCTACATGCACATCAAACAGTGTAACTCTACATGTACATCAAGCTGTGTAACTCTACATGCACATCAAGCAGTGTAACTCTACATGCACATCAAACAGTGTAACTCTAAATGGAAATCAAGGTGTGTAACTCTAGATGCACATCAAGCTGTGTAACTCTACATGTACATCAAGCTTGATAAATCTACATGTACATCAAGCTGTGTAACTCTACATGTACATCAAGCTGTGTAACTCTACATGCACATCAAGCTGTGTAACTCTACATGCACATCAAGCTGTGTAACTCTACATGCACATCAAGCTGTGTAACTCTACATGTACATCAAGCTGTGTAACTCTACATGCACATCAAGCAGTGTAACTCTACATGCACATCAAACAGTGTAACTCTACATGTACATCAAGCTGTGTAACTCTACATGCACATCAAGCAGTGTAACTCTACATGTACATCAAGCTGTGTAACTCTACATGCACATCAAGCTGTGTAACTCTACATGCACATCAAGCTGTGTAACTCTATATGTACATCAAGCTGTGTAACTCTACATGTATATGAAACAGTGTAACTCTACATGTACATCAAGCAATGTAACTCTACATGCACATCAAGAAGTGTAACTCTACGTGCACATCAAACAGTGTAACTCTACATGTACATCAAGCTGTGTAACTCTACATGCACATCAAGCAGTGTAACTCTACATGCACATCAAGAAGTGTAACTCTACATGCACATCAAACAGTGTAACTCTACATGCACATCAAACAGTGTAACTCTACATGTACATCAAGCAGTGTAACTCTACATGTACATCAAGCAGTGTAACTCTACATGTACATCAAACAGTGAAACTCTACATGCACATAAAACAGTGTAACTCTACATGCACATCAAACAGTGTAACTCTACATGTACATCAAGCTGTGTAACTCTACATGTACATCAAGCAGTGTAACTCTACATGTACATCAAACAGTGAAACTCTACATGCACATCAAACAGTGTAACTCTACATGCACATCAAGCTGTGTAACTCTACATGTACATCAAGCTGTGTAACTCTACATGCACATCAAGCAGTGTAACTCTACATGTTCATCAAGCTTGGTAAATCGACATGTACATCAAGCTGTGTAACTCTACATGCACATCAAGCTGTGTAACTCTACATGCACATCAAGCTGTGTAACTCTACATGCACATCAAGCTGTGTAACTCTACATGTATATGAAACAGTGTAACTCTACATGTACATCAAGCAATGTAACTCTACATGTACATCAAGCTGTGTAACTCTACATGCACATCAAGCAGTGTAACTCTACATGCACATCAAGAAGTGTAACTCTACATGCACATCAAACAGTGTAACTCTACGCGAGCTGTGTAACTCTACATGTAAATCAAACAGTGTAACTCTACATGTACATCAAGCTGTGTAAGTCTACATGTAAATCAAACAGTGTAACTCTACATGTAAATCAAACAGTGTAACTCTACATTCACATCAAGCTGTGTAACTCTACATGTACATGCGCATCAAGCTATATAACTCCACATGCACATCAAGCTGTGTAACTCTACATGTACATGCGCATCAAGTTATATAACTCCACATGCACATGAAGCTGTATCATTCTACATGTACATCAAGCTGGGTAACTCTACATGCGCATCAAGCTATATAACTCCACATGCACATCAAGCTGTGTAACTGTACACGTACATGCGCATCAAGCTATATAACTCCACATGCACATGAAGCTGTATCATTCTACATGTACATGAAGCTGTGTAACTCTACATGTGCGTCAAGTTGTTGAACTCTGCAAGTACTTGTAAGAAGTAAATGTTACATGTGTGCTGTGAAACTATCACGTCAATGTGAAAACGACATTGCCTGTTCTTCTGACACCAGTACGCCATGGCACTACAGTATGTGCAAGATGTACTTTCTGTGATTGCTCCTTCACCATAGTGTCTCCCCATTTATCCAAAGTCCCAGCAATACCACAGTCGAATTAACACGATGATGAAAGCAATAATACTGATCATAAGAATATGCAAGAAATCTAATAGCTGCCATCAGAAATAAATTCCATACATATCTTTCAGAAACCTCATTTTCTTGCTTGCTGTTTCATTAAAGAAAACCATCCGAAAGGAGTTGCCACAGTGTATCACCCATAAAAGCCTGCGATCATCAATACACGTATCTCCTATGAATATATCACTTGCTGGCATATTTGCTTTTGTTTGTTTCAGCTTGGTCGCTTCGACTGTATATTTTTGCCTTGCTGAGAAAACACGGAGAATAACTGAGAACGCATATGTAGATAGATTCCTTCCATACATCGTCGACCTTCCGCTTACCTGGTCGGCAGTCGTTGTAAATAAATGGTAAGGCCATTTCAACACTTAGAATTTTAGAATTATCCAGTGATGAAGGATGTGAACAAGTGGTCTTGAAGTCGCTTTGCTGAACAATTATGTTGTAGATCAAACTTCCTAAGAATAGAAAGAATAGAAGCTGACTCTCTTTCAATACGTATTTCAGTTTGGGTGTTTTACAGAGAAGTACATGTACGTTCCTACATTTGCCTCTTGTTACATACACTGACATCACACTAGATGCTCAAGAGATATTTATGTGTTCAGAGATACGAGCAGTCAGAAATGATTGACCGTCCCGTTTACTCAGGCTATCAACCTTCCTTCATGTATCAGCTTCTAAGTACCTATACGTATTTTTTAGCCATTCTATTTTAAGTATGTGTCCAGGTATCTTGTGTAGACGGTCAAGGTTGCGAGTGTATCCAAAAAATGTACGTTTGAAAAAAACCATGTTCATATTGTCTTGTAAGTTGGGTGTCGAGAGTTCACAACGGTCAGCTGCTGAGTGATTGAATTGGAAGTTATAACCCAGAGTGACTGCGGCGTGTGTGAGTTGGGAGTTACATCAGAGTGTTATTGGGTGAATTGGAAGTTATATCGCAGTGTGTGAGTGTGTGAGTTGGGAGTTATATGACAGTGTGTGAGTTGGGAGTTACATCAGAGTGATAGTGGGTGAGTTGGAAGTTATATCGCAGTGTGTCAGTGTATGAGTTGGGAGTTATATCACAGTGTGTGAGTGTGTGAGTTGGGATTTATATCGCAGTGTGTGAGTGTGTGGGTTGGGAGTTTTATCACAGTGTGTGAGTTGGGAGTTACATCAGAGTGTTAGTGTGTGAGTTGGAAGTTATATCGCAGAGTGTCAGTGTGTGAGTTGGGAGTTACATCATAGTGTGTGAGTGTGTGATTTGGGAGTGACATCACAGTATGTGAGTGGGTGAGTTGGAAGTTATATCGCAGTGTGTGAGTTGGGAGTTACAATCACAGTGTGTGAGTGTGTGAGTTGGGAGTTACATCAGAGTGTTAGTGGGTGAGTTGGAAGTTATATCGCAGTGTGTGAGTTGGGAGTTATATGACAGTGTGTGAGTGTGTGAGTTGGGAGTTACATCACAGTGTGTGAGTGTGTGAGTTGGGAGTTATATCACAGAGTGTGATTGTGTGAGTTGGGAGTTATATCACAGTGTATGAGTGTGTGAGTTGGGAGTTATATCAGTATGTGAGTGTGTGTAAGTTGGGTGTCGAGAGTTCACAACGGTCAGCTGCTGAGTGATTGAATTGGAAGTTATATCCCAGAGTGACTGCGGGGTGGGTGAGGTGGGAGTTATATCACAGCGTGTGAGTGTGTGTGAGTTGAGAGTTATATCACAGTGTGTGAGCGGGCGGGTTGGGAGTTATATCCCAGTGTGTGAGCTGGTTAGTGATAAGGATAGAAGTTATATTCCAATGTGTCAGCTGAGTGGGTGGGTTGGAAGTTATATCACAGTGTGTGAGTGTGTGAGTTGGGAGTTACATCAGAGTGTTAGTGGGTGAGTTCGAAGTTATATCGCAGTGTGTCAGTGTGTGAGTTGGGAGTTATATGACAGTGTGTGAGTTGGGAGTTACATCAGAGTGATAGTGGGTGAGTTGGAAGTTATATCGCAGTGTGTCAGTGTATGAGTTGGGAGTTATATCACAGTGTGTGAGTGTGTGAGTTTGGAGTTATATCACAGTATGTGACTGGATGTGTTGGACGTTATATCACAGTGTGTGAGTGTGTGACTTGGGAGTTATATGACAGTGTATGAGTGTGTGAGTTGGGAGTCACATCGCAGTGTGTGAGTGTGTGGGTTGGGAGTTATATCACAGTATGTGAGTGTGTGAGTTGGGAGTTACATCAGAGTGTTAGTGGGTGAGTTGGAAGTTATATCGCAGAGTGTCAGTGTGTGAGTTGGGAGTTATATCATAGTGTGTGAGTGTCTGATTTGGGAGTTACATCAGAGTGTTAGTGGGTGAGTTGGAAGTTATATCGCAGGGTGTCAGTGGGTGAGTTGGAAGTTATATCGCAGTGTGTGAGTGTGTGAGTTGGGAGTTATATCACAGTATGTGAGTGTGTGAGTTGGGAGTTACATCAGAGTGTTAGTGGGTGAGTTGGGAGTTATATCACAGTGTGTGAGTGTGTGAGTTGGGGGTTATATCACAGTATGTGAGTGTGTGAGTTGGGAGTTACATCAGAGTGTTAGTGGGTGAGTTGGAAGTTATATCGCAGTGTGTGAGTTTGGAGTTATATCACAGTGTGTGAGTGTGTGAGTTGGGAGTTATATCACAGTATGTGAGTGTGTGAGTTGGGAGTTACATAAGAGTGTTATTGGGTGAGTTGGAAGTTATATCGCAGAGTGTCAGTGTGTGAGTTGGGAGTTATATCACAGTGTGTGAGTGTGTGAGTAGGGAGTTACATCACATTGTATGAGTTTGTGGGTTGGGAGTTATGTCACAGTGTGTGAGTGTGTGAGCTGGGAGTTACATCAGAGTGTTAGTCGGTGAGTTGGAAGTTATATCGCAGAGTGTCAGTGTGTGAGTTGGGAGTTATATCACAGAGTATGAGTGTGTGAGTTGGGAGTTACATCAGAGTGTTAGTGTGTGAGCTGGGAGTTATATCACAGTGTGTGAGTCAAATGTGTGAGTTGGGAGTTATATCATAGTGTGTGAGTGTGTGAGTTGGGTGTTATATCACAGTATGTGAGTGTGTGAGTTGGGAGTTACATCAGAGTGCTAGTGGGTGAGTTGGAAGTTATATCACAGTGTGTTAGTTGGGAGTTATATCACAGTGTGTGAGTGTGTGAGTTGGGAGTTATATCACAGAGTGTGAGTGTGTGAGTTGGGAGTTATATCACAGTGTATGAGTGTGTGAGTTGGGAGTTATATCACAGTGTATGAGTGTGTGAGTTGGGAGTTATATCACAGTATGTGAGTGTGTGAGTTGGGAGTTACATCAGAGTGCCAGTGGGTGAGTTTGAAGTTATATCGCAGTGTGTGAGTTGGGAGTTATATCACAGAGTGTGAGTGTGTGAGTAGGGAGTTACATCACAGTGTGTGAGTGTGTGAGTTGAGAGTTATATCACAGAGTGTGAGTGTGTGAGTAGGGAGTTATATCACAGTGTATGAGTGTGTGAGTTGGGAGTTATATCACAATGTCTGAGTGTGTGAGTTGAGAGTTGTATCGCTGTGGTGGAGCGTTTGGAGTGCCTGTGCTGTTGGAAGGACATATCCCTATAGAATATCAGTGTAAACTGCAGTAGTCATGTTACCATCAAATGTTCATAATGTTCAAATACACATAATTGTGTGGCACCCAACACAGACACCTCACCTAACACATGTAAGTTAGGACTGTTCTTTGAACGCTGGTAAAAAACATTTTGTATGCACTTTGGATATAGCCACACTGAACTTTCATCTGAGATCATAACATTGTCCCAATTGAAATTTCCATGTTCCAGTTCAAAAGACGTTTTTGCTGTTCAGGTTTGAAAAGTGGTGATGCAATTCATTGTGATTTCTCCTACTACGTTAGACTTTTGTCTCTTCAGAAACATGAACTGTTCCTCTATTAATCATTTCATGCCTAATATTTTCAATGCTGCAGAGTCTATTTTTAGACATCAATAAACTTAGTCACCTGTAACCAACAGTCAAGTTTCCTTATTCTACCTGCTCCCTTTTTGTGCTTAATTCCATTTCCACTATCAATATTTTTCAAAACACGGTACAGAGTTGATATTGGACTGTCTGTTCTGCCATGTTTGCCGTCTGTGAACTTGTTTAACAAGGGAGGCAACTCTGGTAATATTTTACAAATATGACATGCATATATGTCTCCCTTGAATCAAAGTCAAACTAAGTTCTCCATCCATATTCTTTTGATATTATGGTAAATACTGAAATTCCTATTGTCGCATAGTGTCAACAGACTCCTAAATCAATGTCAGGTCTCGTCAATACCCGGTGTAACCAGCCTGCACACAAACGAATGCCTGCCAGACGCCTCCTCATTCCATGAATCAGACTTTGCACCTCACGTTGAGGTATCCGAGCCCATTCCGCATGTAAAGCAGCAGCAAGTTCACGCAAGCTTTAGACAGGTTGGTCTCCCAAAGGAACGTAACGGCCTAAAATGTCCTACAGAAGTTCTATTGGATTAAGATCTGGACTTCTTTCTGGCCAATGAAATGTCTCGATGGCATTCTGACACAAGCATTGCAGAACAGCAAGTGATCTGTGAGGTCTAGCATTGTCATCCAAGAAGAGAGGTCTAGTCTAGTGAGTGTCAAAATGAAGGATAACTGCCGTCCCAAGATGTCATGCTGATATCGAGATCCGTTCAGATTACCCTGCAGTGATCAAGTCAAGTTTACAATTGAATGAAACACATCCTCATACCATTACCGATCCCTTACCAAATGGATGGGTCTCTAGAATGTTGTATACAGCCATGTCAGCCTCCAGTCACGTGTGCGTCCGTCTTCCATATTTAACAGAAACCGACTTTCATAAAAAATGGACTCTCCGCCATGATGTGATATCCCAGTTTAGACGGATGTCCTGCAAGGCCGACCTGAGCGTGGCCTATAACTTCATGCGTTGTTCGGTATTTCTGCACTAATCTTGACATTACAGTATGGTGACGTCTAAGTCGACGTCCAATTTCCCTACAAAACATTCCTGCATTTGTCATTCCAATTATTTGCCATCTTCCCGCTTCAGACAATCTACGACGTGCCATGATAATGCTTTGTAACGAGCATGCAGCCAGTGTTGAGCAATGTGTACGTGCAATGTTCACTACCAATGTATGTGTTTCTAGACATGTCATGGGGAGTGTGATTCACGCTCAGTGTGTGCAACGTCAAGCCCGATGACATTGATATTGGCAATGGTATGGTGCAGGCAAAGGGCCAAAATATTATGATATATGCATACAACTTACTCATTTTCTTAACTTCAAAATGTGTGATATTGATTTATGGGGGTGCTTAATTAATATATATATAGTATATATTGGACCACTATCATTAGTATAAGTGCTGATATATACTCTTAAAAAAAGACACGCACAGGAAGTATGTAGTTCATTGAACCTAACTACACAAAAAATCCGGTATATAAATTGGATATATGTTATTTGAAAATGTTGGTGGCCTGATCTTCGACAAACGGTGCGTCAAAACACAGCAATGTCTCAAACGGCATTGTTGTCATACTTGTTAAAAACTGTCATCGAGGAAAACAGTAAAGCAAAATGCACTTGCACGTTATGGCATTCGTAACTCGTGATAGTGGCTATAAAAAGGCAAGCATATGCCAATAATTTGTCAATTAATTGTCAACATTTTTCAAGTTCGTAAACGCCGAGACTCAGCGCTGCCGATCGGAACATCACCATAGGACGTATCCAAAGAGGGGAATGGCAGATGTTTTGTTGCACGCCACTTCAATGTCCACCACAGCATCATTTGCCGCATTTGGAACCGATACACACAGTTCAATTCCACTGCAGACCGTCCGAGACCCGGCCGACCAAGAGTTACCACCCCTGCACAGGATTGCTACATTCGACTGTTCCACCTACGCCATCGCAATGCCACACCGACAGAGATTGCAGGACGCATCCCTGGGTTGAGGAGGATATCGGACGAGACAGTCAGGAACCATCTTCGCGAGGCTGGAATCCGACCCAGAAGACCAGTTGCCGTCCCTGTTTTGCAACAGGTTCATTGACAGCGACACTTGCGTTGGTGCCATACCATTGCTTACAGCCTTGGAATTTGAGAAACTGGAGACGAGTGTGGTTTAGCCATGAATCACGATTTCATCTTCATCGGCGAAATAGAAGACAACGTGTTTATCGTCTTCGAAATAAGCGTTTAGCCCCAAATTGTGTACTTGAATTCGACAATTTCGGTAGCGGTAGTTAGATGGTATGGGGGCTATATCCTCCTTCACCACGAGATCTGAGCTGGTTGTGGTTCAGGGATATTTGACAGCAAATCGCTACATGAATTTAATTCTTCAACCTCACCTACTTCCAATAATCGATCGCCAGAGGAAGCTGTTTCAATAGGACAACGCTCCACCGCACACAGATCGTGTCACGGTAGACTACCTCCATAATGCCAACATCAACGACTTGCCCTGGCCGTTGAGATCTCCAGATCTCAACCCAATCGAACACCTCTGGGATGAATTCGATCCACGTGTACGTCAACGTCAAAACACGCCTCAGACACTCCAACAACTGGCCAACGCGTTACAAGCAGAATGGCGCAGAATTCCGCAGGACAGAATTCGTACACTCATCCAGTCAGTGCCGAGGAGATGCAGAGCCGTGATTGCTGCCCGGGGCGGTCATACGAGATGCGGAGTTCAGCGTTACCTTGTGTCCTTATGTGACATGGCAATAAACAGTTTTCATAGCCTTTGTACAACGACAACACGTGACTATCGAGCTTCAAAATTTCATATTTGTATCTATGATATTAAATTAAATATAACGACTTTATTAGGTACAATAAATTTACTGAAACGCTATCTGTGCGTTTCTTTTTTTGGGAAGAGTGTATATTCATACTGGAAACTATTGGGTGGAAGTAAATATGTCAGTCAACCTTTGATAAGAGTCAACACATATATAACGCAGTAGACTACTATACATGTATGTACCTCAACTTGAAGCTTTCAACTTTCTATTTGAATAGTTAAGTAATACTTTGCCGTGTGACATGGATTCTTGTCATTATATATCTCAAATACAGGCGTTTGAGTAATCATTAACTACTGTTTCAGCCTTGGGCGACGCTGGTGTCTGTTTTTATATGCTGTGGCGTCCGGATTCGCGTCTCTATCCATCATCGTCCTTGACATGACTGGTAATCTGCAGTCCATGCCAAATATGATGAAAGGGTTGGCAATATTTGGCAAACTCGGGGTGACCGCGACTCTCTCCATCATCGCCATTTCAGCTGTAGAGATGTTTCCCACTGTTATACGGTAAGACGCTTATAGGTGGCTTTGAAATATATCATGTGAACAATGTTACCCAAATATATCCTGTTAGTCTCATGTATACATCATTTGGGTTATTGTACTGGGCTACTGTACTATGTCACTTGGAGAAATATAAACGACTTTGATATGACGGGGTTATGTCATGTGGATTATATTCGTCTATAACAATATCATTGGTATATCATGTCAGTAATGATAATATCATTGGATATATAATTCTGGCTATATTAGTCTTGTGAATAATGTGTAGACTATATTCGTCTCATGGATGTATCGTGTAGACTATAATAGTATCATGAATATGTTATGTAGACTACATTCGTCTCATGGATGTCATGTAGACAATAACGGTATCATGAACATTTTATGTGGACCATATCCGTCTCATGGATATATAACGTGGACTATATGTGGACTACATTCATCTCATAGATATAGCATGTGTGTTATATTCCACTCATGGACATATCAGGTGACTTACATTCCACTCAACGATATATCATTTGTGCTATAATCCACTCATGGACATTTCATTTGTGTTATATTCCACTCATAGAAATATCATGTATGTTATATACCACTCACTGATATTTCATGTGTCTTATATTCCATTCATGGACATTTCATGTGTGTTACATTCCTTTCATACACTGGTGATATATTCCACTTATGGATATATCATGTGTGTTACCTTTCACTCATGGATATATCATTTGTGTTCTTTTCCACTGATTTATAGTCACGTGTGGTATATTCCACAAGTTGATATATTATGTGTTATATCTTCCCCTAATGGTTATATCATGAGTGTTATATTCCACTTATGAATATATCATGTGTGTTACATTCCACTTATGGAAACATCATGTCTGTTATCTTCCACTCATTAATACAGTATGTGTGTTGCATTCCACTGAGGGATGTTTCATCTATGTTATATTCCACTCATTTATAGTCACGTGTGGTATATTCCACTCGTGGATATAGCTGTTGTGTTACAATCGACTCATGGATATTTCATTTGTGTTATACTCCACTGATTGATAGTCACGTTTGGTATATTCCACTCGTAGATATATCATGTGTGTTATCTTCCACTTATCATGTGTGCTATAGTCCACTCATGGATATTTCATGTGCGCTATATTCCACTCATGGACATTTCATGTGTGTTACATTCCACTCATGGATATAGCATGTGTGTTACATTCCATTAATAGAAGTTTCGTGTGTGTTATATACCACTCATGGGCATTTCATGTGTGTTACATTCCATTCATTGATATTTCATTTATGTTTTATACCACTCATGGACATTTCATGTGTGTTATATAATCCACTAATGGTAATATCATGTGTGTTATATTCCACTCATGGACATTTCATGTGTGTTTCATTCCACTCATGGTTATATCATGTGTGTTACATTTCACTCAAGGATATAGCATGTGTGTTACGATGGACTCATGGATATATCATGTGTCTTATATTCCACTTATTTATAGTCACGTTTGGTATATTCCACTCGTGGATATATCATGTGTGTTATCTTTCACTTATCATGTGTGCTATAGTCCACTCATGGAAATATCATTTGGGTTATATATTCCACTTATGGATAGATCATGTGTGTTATATTCCACTCATTTATGTTTGATGTGTGCTATATTCCATTAATGGATATAGCATGTGTGTTATATTCCATTTATGGATAAAGTACGTGTGTTACATTCCACTCATTGATGAATCATTTGTGTAATATTCCACTCATTTATAGTCACGTGTGGTATATTCCACTCGTGGATATTCCATGTGTGTTATCTTTCACTTATCATGTGTGCCATATTCCACTTATGGATATATCATGTGTGTTATATTCCACTGATGGATAGTTCGTGATTGTTACATTCCACTCATGGATATAGCATGTGTGTTTCATTCCACTTTTGGTCATTTTATAATGACAATTCAACACGAAAGTTGCAATAATGATTTAATACCTGAAACACGTTCAATATAACACATATCTAACAAGTTTGGCGTAAGGGGATTCTCACTGTAAACATGTGACTAGAAAGCTATTGGTACATGTACATGACTGAGCATCATTCATGCCCAGCTAGGGATCGATTCGCCTTTCACAACTGACAACCTTCCCAAGCATTGGGTATAAACACAGGAGAATCGACTACATGTACCTGACTTTATGTGTACCTGACTGAGCATCGGTCAGGCCCAAGCTGTTGGGATCAATTGTCGAGAGTGATACATAGAATACTAAGGTTTCGACAATTAACTACACATCTATCATTCTACACTACAGATAGAAACGCATTAGATGCTAAATACCATGGAAATGATGGAGGTCAAGCCTGACCTGTGTTTTGACAACATGCATCCAATGCATCCCATCCGTATCCTGTTACTATAAATAGCATCATGCATGAGACATGTATGTATTACGGACGTTTGTTTATTGTAGATTCTTATAATAATATTAATACATAACCGGGTGGTTAGTGTTACACTTATCTGGTAATAAACTGCAGAAGATGTCTCCTGGCTTTTAATGTTGTCTTATGTTACCTAATAATGAAACCATAGAAAATAATTAATGACGTGCCAATGCCAAAAGCTGATGGAATTAATACATAACAATTTATTGTATGTTACATTAAACTTGGAAAATATGAGAAAATAACGACATAGCAGTTTTAAGTTGTCATTATAAACTCACTCAATATACATTGAGCACCAATTTATAATGACAATTCAACACGAAAGTTGCAACAATGATTTAATGACTGAACCAGGTTCAATATAACACATATCTAACAAGTTTGGCGTAAGGGTATTCTCACTGTAAACATGTGACTAGAAAGCTATTGGTACATGTACATGACTGAGCATCATTCATGCCCAGCTAGGGATCGATTCGCCTTTCACAACTGACAACCTTCCCAAGCATTGGGTATAAACACAGGAGAATCGACTACATGTACCTGACTTATGTGTACCTGACTGAGCATCGGTCAGGCCCAATCTGTTGGGATCAATTGTCGAGAGTGATACAAAGAATACTAAGGTTTCGACAATTAACAACACATCTATCATTCTACACTACAGATAGAAACGCATTAGATGCTAAATACCATGGACATGATGGAGGTCAAGCCTGACCTGTGTTTTGACAACATGCATCCAATGCATCCCATCCTAATGACTGCAGGGGTAAATATACCCCCCCAAAAAAGTAAAGAATTGACTGAGAATCCCCAAAGGCATTACATATACATCTAGGACAAGCAGTTACCCCTATGTTGTGCCATCGCACGTTGAGCCTGTGCTATGGATGATTTGGGCACCCCAATATATCGAACATAACAGTCTGATGACCACCGGCCTAGAGTCTTGATCAGGTGGTCTGGAATATTAGCCGTGGAAGCTGAGGTAGCCGCACCAGTACGAAATGAGTGACCGTTGTATTTCTCTTGGTCATATCCTGTCCTAGACAATGTGTGTTTTAATTTTTGAATAAAGAAAGACCTGGTAAGGGGTATATTCTGCTCATTAACAAATAAAGGATCATGCTGAGCAGCTCCCATGGCCCTCCTATGATGAATAAATTCCTGTAGACAACGTACCGGACAATAAGATGTTGGAACTGCATGGATGGACAATGTTATACCCCTGCGAAAAGGATCTGTCTTAGACGATTTAAGTGTCAAATCAAACGATGTACAATCTGGTCTAAACACGACAGAGCTGAGAGACAAATGAAATTTTGCATCAAAATGGTCACATGTAAATTCTCCACAACGTAGAAAGCCAAAAAAGGCGACTGAACACACAGTCTTAATCAATAAGTCTGTGAACGGTGAAAATAGTCCTTTCTCTAGGGTGATCCAAATCTTCTGTAAAATGTCAACAGTAATTGGTAGTCGCACACTTGGGTTAACACCTTGTTCTTTCTTAATAGCTTTCATGATTGTTTCTACTCGTAGCAGATTCCTAGAACACCATGGATTCGGCACATTATGCCTCAGATAAGTGAATCTCACTCCACACAGATAACTCTTGATGGTCGTATAACGTAAATGTAGTCGATGATGGCAGTGGGCTACAAACAATAACAATGAATCTTCCGACAATGGAGGTAACACACGGGGCTGCCACACAAACCCGCACATAGCCATGAAGGTTAAAAAGGCTTGAACCCCTGCTCTGTATACCGCCCTCGTGGCTTTTGACACAGCTTGCGACCACAAATCATCTAAGTCTGGACTGGCGGTAAGGTGAGCTGACACAGATGTAGACATGTTTCTGGTGCAGGTTCGGCAGTGGGAGCTAGTTGACGGAACTTGGTCATCTGGAAGCGAGATAATGCATCACCAATATGGTTAACTCTTCCAGGTATATGTCGGGCACTGAATACAAAATTATATTTGGCAGCTGTCAATACGAATTTGCTTATCAGACACATGATGAATGGAGATTTAGAACGACATTTGCAAAGTATGTCAACAGTAGCCATATTGTCACAATGAAATCTGATACTCTTGTTAGTCCATAGCTTCCCCCAGATTGCAGCCGCCATAACGATAGGGTAAAGTTCGAGTAAGGCAATGGACATGTCCTCTGTGGTAGCTTGCAGTAAGTCAACCGGCCATGGAGCAGCAAACCATTTACCCTGGAAGTAAGCTCCAAAACCAACTGATGCAGCAGCATCTGTGTACAGGTCAAATTGGGGGGCTGCGATTAGGTCTTCCAAGAAAAACGACCGGCAATTCCAATCGCGTAAGAATGTTCTCCACATATCAAAATCTAGACGACATTGTTTGTTCAAAGTGACCCGATGTCGTAGGTGTTTCACATAGAGGGCCAGTTGTAGGAGGTAACTGATGAATGCCCTACCCGCTGGAATGATCCGCATAGCAAAATTTAGATGGCCAATAATGCTGAGCAGTAGCTGCTTTGTGACTTTCTTGGCACCTTGAATAGTTGCCATGATGGATACGATTCTTGCAACTTTCTCAGTAGGTAGACGCGCTTCCATTCTATCAGTGTCCAAAATAATCCCCAAATATTCCAAACATGTGACCGGTCCGACCGTTTTATGGGGGGACAGGGGGATATTCAGTTCCGAGAATAGGCATTCTAGTTTGTTCATGGTGCTGATGCCTTGTACTAAATCCTTATCCACAGTCAAAAAATAGCCACTTGAATAATGGTGGCTACTGCTTCAGGATTGTTTCGAGCTGATAACAGATTCTTGCAGACAGTAGTGTGAGTAGGTGGACATGTAATGCCCGTGTCAAAACCAAATTTAAAATCATGCAGCAACGACTGAACGAAGGCACGGTCTGGGTGATCAGACAGCCGTTGAGACAGTTCATCCACGTCAACAGGAGATGGGGTTGCCTGTAGTCACTGTCGGTGCTTTTTGGCCGAGGAAGAATTCTGGACAGGTGTCGACTTGCCTGCTGGAAATTGAGTCTCTCCTGTGTTATGCCAACATTCGAAAGCAGGGTGTGGCTTTCGACATAGAGAACACAAATGTCTAAATCTACAATTCCCGTGAACACATTTCTCAGCATTAAAGTTGTTGCACAATGGGATACCTTTGTGTATGAGCACTTCCCTTCCCCGGCGATCCATGCCTCTGCGTTCTGTGTTGAGTTCTCTGTCCCAAGTTGGGGGAGTATGGTTAAAAGTCTCTCCTGGTTGGTGATGTATGGACTTGGCATCAACCATAGAACAGAACTGCGTCGAATGACCAATGTCATCACACAACTGGCAAGCAGTGATTCTGCGTCCTGTAAACACTGCTCTATAGATGGCATCATCAATCTCTCCCCATGGTAATTTACAGTTATGTTGCTCAAGATAAGCTGCCGCTTTAGCCGAGAAACGTTTGTGATATTGATAAAAGAGTTGATTCTGATATTGGTTGTGCATATCAACTATAAGGCGCTGATACTCGTCAAGTTCGGCTCGTCTCTGTGGCCAGCGTAAACACATGATGGCTTTATACTTTCCAAAGGCTGTGATGAACATGTCAAATGTCAAGGGCAACTGCAATCTGGAGTCAGGAGGACTTTTGAGTTGCATATTCACATTATCTACCTGAATGGTTCTAGCATTGGACGTTATTTCATCAGGAATGAGTAGTAAAGCAAGGTTCACATCCTTACCTTCCTGAATGCTCTTCCGGAGAGAGGGAGAAACAAGAGCTACGTCTGGTAAGTGCTGAGCTTGAGGCTCACTGGCGGGGCCGGATTGTCATGTGGTTGACCCGGTCCAGCAAAAGTGGTCTGCAAATGTGAAGTGTGTGGCACCGTAGCAGGCTGATTCCTGGCATCCATTTGAGTGCTCAGCGTGGCCACAGTCCGCTGTAACTTGTTCACGGTGTCCACAAGCTGGGCGATTGTTGTGTCAGTGTGTGCCTCGTTAACAATCGAATGAGGGGGCACCGAATCCTCATGAACTGCCGCTGTGCTGGCTCTGGCTGACGACCCGTCCGACGATGCTGACCTTTGTCTGTCCATCCTTTTGTTACGGTCTGGGAGGTTTTCTGTGTAAAAGGTTTGGTATTGAGCACGTGTCAACCCCCCGGGAGGCTTAATATCCAATATTTCCTCGATGTATGCACAGATACGTCCCGTAGTCCAATTCCGTGGAAACATCTCATACGGGCGACTGTCTACTGCACTGAGAGGGATCGTTGTACTATATCGTCGCCGAGGGACCCCGACATCGGGCGCGGCCATGTTTGTTGAAAGCGAACCGTCTGGAACATCGCCAATACTTGCTGCTTCACTGCGCACGGTATCCTGCCTGGATATCCTGCCTGGATATCCTGCTTGACGTTCGCTTCTTGCGAGTTTTAGGAGCCATACTGCTGGACGCCTGAGAGAACCGGCACACTTGATTTTAACTATTCGCTCGTACGTACGGAATCAAAAATTGCTTGTCATTGTTATGACACCTGCACAAGATGGCTGACCTGAGTCGTAATTGCGCATGCTCGTACTTGGCATGCTGGGAAATTGCCGTATCCTGTTATTATAAATAGCATCACGCATGAGACATGTATGTATTACGGACGTTTGTTTAATGTAGATTCTTATAATAATATTAATACATAACCGGGTTGTTAGTGTTACACTTATCTGGAAATAAACTGCAGAAGATGTCTTCTGGCTTTTAATGTTGTCTTATGTTACCTGATAATGAAACCATAGAATATAATTAATGACGTGCCAATGCCAAAAGCTGATGGAATTAATACGTAACAATTTATTGTATGTTACATTAAACTTGGAAAATATGAGAAAATAACGACATAGCAGTTTTAAGTTGTCATTATAAACTCACTCAATATACGTTGAGCACCAAAGTATGCGTGTTACAATCCACTCATGGATGTATCATTTGTGTTATATTCCACTCATTTATAGTCACGTGTGTTATATTCCACTCGTGGATATATCATGTGTGTTACGTTCTACTCATTGATATATCATATGTGTTATATTCCGCTCATTCTTATTCACGTGTGTTATATTGCACTCACGGGTTAATCCTGTTTTCTGTAATACATTTATGTCTAAAGCATCTGTGATATATTCCACTCATGGGTAAATCCTGTCCGTCATAACCCATGGATGTGCCATGTGCGTTATATTCCATTCATTGTTGTGACATCTGTATTATTATCCTCTTATGGAATTTTCATTTGTGTTATATTCCACTCGTGGAAATATCATGTGTGTTATATAATCCACTAATGACATTTCATGTGTGTTAACTTCCACTCATGGATATTTCATGTGCATTATATTCAACTCATGGACATTGTATGTGTGTTATATTCCACTCATGGTTATAGCATGTGTGTTATATTCCACTCATGTAAATATCGTGTGTTATATAATCCACTCATGGATATAGCATGTGTGTTATATTCCACTCATGGATATTTCATGTGCGTTATATTCCACTCATGGACATTTCATGTGTGTTACATTCCATTCATGGATATATCATTTGTGTTATATACCACTCATAGACATTTCATGTGTGTTATATAATCCACTAATGGATATATCATTTGTGTTATATTCCACTCATGGATATTTCATGTGCAGTATTTTCCACTCATGGACATTTCATGTGCGCTATATTCCACTCTTGGACATTTTATGTGTGTGACATTCCACTCATGAATATAGCATGTGTGTAACATTCAACTTATGGATATAGCATGTGTGTTACAAGCGACTCATGGATATATATTTGTGTTATATTCCACTGATTTATAGTCACGTTTGGTATATTCCACTCGTGGATATTTCATGCGTGTTGCCTTCCACTTATCATGTGTGCTACTGTCCACTCATGGAAATGTCATGTGGGTTATATATTCCACTTATGGATATATCATGTGTGTTATATTCCACTGATGGATATTTCATGTGTTACAATCCACTCATGGAGATATCATTTGTTCTATATTCCACTCATTGATATATCATGTTTGATATATTCGACTCATTGATATACCATGTGTGTTTTATTTCATTCATGGCTATAACATGTGTGTTACACTAGTATTCCACTCGTGGATGTATCATGTGTACCATATTCCACTCTCACTTATAAACCCAATTACCCCGCCCTTTCGTTTGAAGAGTGGTGAGTGAGTATGGTTGTACGCCGCTTTTAGCAATATTCCGGCAATATCACGGCTGGGGACACCAGAAATGGGCTTCACACATTGTACCCATGTCGGGAATCGAACCCGGGTCTTCGGCGTGACGAGCGAATGCTTTAACCACAGGGCTACCCGACCGCCCCCGTTTGAAGAGTAAAAATCATTAGATGATTATAGTTTTGATTGAAGTATCAATGTGAATAGAGATATTATTCAGTTCTCAATGAACAAGTTTCGTGCTTTTTTTAAAACAGATTCAAACCACCGTCATTAGCAGATGGAATACGTGATATTCCTTGAGTTATGTTCATACGACGATATTACAGGAATATTTAAATTTAAATTAGATACTTTTGACATTTTGTAAACATGTTACATTAGACAAGCAACTAAACGTAATCAAACATTTGTCTAGGTATGTTCATGTGTTAGAATAAGTTATGAATTAACGCTCTGGTTTCAGCGGACCCGCCACACCAAATATTTTTTTTGCGCTGTGGAAACCAAGAAGAATGAAACTCCGAGCCTGTAAGGCTTTCATGGGAGAAATCAATACCACTTTTCTGAAATGGAGAGTAATAACATAAGAAAAGGAACAATTTTCAAATGTCAATCTGGAAAAAAATATAAATCGATTTTCAAGAAGGGTCTGAAAGCGTTTTGTTTACGCTTGACCCCTCAGATAGTTTCACTATCAACCTGGTGGTGACAGCCCTGTTAACGCTGATTAAAATTCCAGTAGATGGAATACAGCCCCTCTGTCCATTATGCTGCGGTGGGTTGTGAAACCGCTCTTATTGTCGACCAACTTCTGGTTCCATGCTTACATGTTTAGAATTACTCGTGGTTGGAATTATCAGCATATTGTTATGATATACTATGACAAAAGGATCATACTGTATTTAATTGTATTTTCTCACACAAAAAGGTCGATTTTTGTTGTTGTTTGTTTTCATAAATCAATAATTTTCCGACAAGGTTCGAAAAAAAATGTTCTCAGGTTGTACTCCCCAAACTAATAAATATCAAATAGATGAATGTATAGTCATGTTTACAGATTAAAGAATGCTATGTTTTGAGGCACTATATATGATTTTATTTACGATCGATGCATTGTGTTGCCATATATACATTACAGATGTATGGGCACAGCGACTGCTTTGCTATCTGCAGCGGCCGGTGCAATTATGTCGAAACAATTCAAGTTTTTGGTGAGTTTCTTTACTTTCAAGCAGCAATACGTACATATATCTAAAGATATCACTGTTAAGGGCTTCCATTGTTGTAGAATAGTTTATAATATATTCTTTGACCCGAATGTCAATTTTTCTTTCAACAACAAAGAATATTAGACTTTAGTGACACTATGTAGCATACAAACTTGCATTGCTTCCCTGTAGTGAATGTAGAGTTAGAAAACAGTTGTCCCTTTGCAACCGAACATGTAAATTAACCTGGGTCTGAAACATCTTTCTGCTCAATTGAAAATACGAAATATGTCATGAAGATGAAGTAATATGTCTTTATTTCATTAGCGGGTTTTCCAGGAGGTGCAGGTAAGCCGTAGCTTTGTTGCCATCCACAGCAGTGTTCATATATCATTGTGAACAGTGAACACTCACCGCACTCACTGTTTAGTAGAGTTTCCCTCCATATTAAGGTCTCTTTTGTTTCTGTCTTAGATGTAGCTATAGCTTTACACATGCGTAGTGTGCTTGCCACGACCTTTGTCGTTTCGGTGTTCAGATGAATAGCTCTCTAATAATAGCTGTACATGTGATATAAAGTAATAATTCCTTTTTGTGAGCATTGAAAGTAGACTCAGACAATGTCATGCTAGTCTATGTATTCTATGAAGAAATCTCCATCATAGTAGTCATTAAAACACGATATACATTTTCATGAAAACGTAGGAAATATGTGTAGTCTCCAAAGGTTACTCTTATGCACCTGTGATAATTTGCACTTTGTGCACGCTTAAATCAAACACTGGATTTATGATTAGTAAGTAACCCGCAGTTTTGCAGTGTTCTCCTGATCACATACACTGTAGTATATATGTGTCAGTGTTTCTTAACGCTGGCATCTCTCGTACAAGTTTTACTGTCAAATAGTCTTGTTCAAACAATCACCTTGTACTTGTGTATGGAGTGACTTATCTGTGCAGCCTATCACATTATTGGTCCTTATCTGCCTCTGCGGACTATATAAATACATCTTATACATTATGTACCGTTAAACTCAGTATGCTCTCCAAAAACATACATTTTATCAAGCATTGTCAGTATTTCTGATATTTGACAAACACGTCAAAGAGGAATGACATCAAGATTGAGCGATTGAGAGAATATGTGGATGATGATGAGGAGCACGACGTTTCGGGGTATATGCCTACTCCTTAGTCAGGTGAATTCATATGAATCATGACGCATATTATACTCCGAAACTTTGTGTTCCTCATAATAAAGATTGTGAAGTTAACTACCATAAATTGTCTCTCTCATGCGTATCACTTCTAAATGTCATTCATGACCTGATTATCATGATTATTCAATTATTCTTTGTACGCTTTATGCTTTAGGATGAAAACCACTACACAGTGCCTTTCCTGGTGTATGGCGGTATGATGGTCACAGTCGGCTTCGCTGCCCTCTTCCTGCCAGAGACACTAGGGCGTCCACTTCCAAATATCCTGCCCTGTCGTCATCGAAAGATTCCATTACAAGAAGGAACAAGGCTTGTGAATACGTGGGATAACTTGTAGCTATTTGCAATGGGAGACATTTGTGGGAAACTGACGAGTAAAGGATTACTATTTTTAAATGTTGATGTCATGTTGGATTACATTACATTGCGGTGAGTGTGTCAGTATGGCGATAATGAAACATTTCTTTCAATGATATTGCATCGAAATTAGCATATTAGTATTCTTAACTGTTGATGAGATTGATGTCAACAACAACCACTAAAACAAACCTATCTTGTATTCGATGATGTTGGATGAAGTCTTGAGGGATAACATGAACAGATAAGTACGTATTCAACACATAGTTTGGCTGTTCCGACTGTTTTTGAAGGGTTATGAATATGAAACTTGAAGACTAAATAAACTACTGATTGGGGATGTGAGAAAATATAGATCATGTAATGTTTGTAAAGATGTGGAAAGGTACGATTAGTGTACGCATGAAAAAGAACACAAAAGAGTAGGCTTTGTCCAGTACGATGACCAGAGGGAGTAAAGTTATTACAAGTCGGCTGGCAATTGAGTATTACAAATTGGGTGGCAAGTAAGAAACAGGACTAATGGCAATACCGTCTGTAATACTTCCACTGCCAATGCCCAGAACTGATTCTACCATCCCCGGGGGACATCACGGTAAAACAGCTTCAAATGATATCGATACATTTCAGAAATACGATTCTAATACAGCTGTAGACATATCTATACGTATATACATCACCGACATACCAGTTAACCGACAAATACGTAAGTAGCATATCTCAGTTTATGTTAACATGATATCGCTATCTTGTCTTCAGGTCTGGGGCGGAATAAGCCAAGTTGATCCAAGCTGCCACGTTATCACCTAAGCTCCGTACAACGACGGTTGTACACTTCACATGTAGGCATTACTGTCAACAATGTCAGGAAACACTAGATAAACTACCAACTGGGTATTTGGTTACACTATTGCTATGGACGAATAAACAGTTATATTTCTTTCTAAAACATATCTTGATTCCTTTCATAATGGATATACGTCTATGTGTTCATGACATTGGTTCTGAATATGATTACAAGGTATAGGTATGTGTATATGAAGCGTGAATTACAGTCTTGTCGGTGTTTGAGCTTCCATATTTAGTAGTTTGGTAACATTCGTTCTTCAATTCTTATACGTTCACAATTTGGTTTCCAACATGCACCGAGTAACATAGATGTATAATGAAGCGATCATCTGAGGTACTGACATCCACTATACAAATACACTTACACGCCCTTAAAAGCATGTTAACACTGATAAATGTTTCAGTAGACGAAGCAGTATTACGAATTACAAGTGGAAAACGTGTTATAAGAACACATCCACACCTGGAGTATAAAGTGCATCTTGTCGATTCTGGCACGAGTGATACTTAGCATTCAGTCGGAGAGGAATGCCCTGGCCCATATACGTATGTGATATATTTCGCCTGTACCCCTTATGTCTATGATGTTTTAGCTTTCTTAAAAATACTTTAATCAATGAAATTTCATCGAGTTGTCCAAATTCCATGACTTATCCCCTCAGCTGAAGTTACATTCATGATTGATAGGTTATAATCGGGAACATCAATTCCATTTTCTATGCTAATCCATTTCTGAAATAATGTTGTTTGTCTTTTGATCATAATAACTTTGAAAGGAAGCTTCTATGGAATATGGGGGTTCTGAAAACCCTTTGAAATGTTTATCCCTCTGTGAAGGATGTCGAAATTCAATTACGACCACAATTCAACGGAACGTCGAGTAATGGGCATCCCTTAATGGATATCAGCTGATCCGTCATGTACATGACATATACTCAATACCTAGACATTGACAAGGGAATAGTAGCATTGGTTTGGCCAGGAGCAAATGGCTCAAGGGCTCACCGACATTTCGAGATGTTTTTTGTCGTATTTGGTAAACATGTAATTCAGTGATATAACGATAGTCTGATATTGTAAGCATTATTGCGTGGTTACATTAGTTAGACAATGCCATATGGACTATTTCAGTATGCGGTAAGGTTAAAGCTGGAATTCGTCCTGTTGTTTGTAGTTACATTGTACTTGACAGTAAGATGAATGTTGTACAGGTTAAATGAATAAACGGATTTCCCCCACAGTGTAGGACTGTCAGTCAGGGATGCATTACCACTATTCAATAAGCGAAGCAGTGATCTGTTATACCTTTTACCAGATAGAAAAAGACTTGAGCATCATAATGCTATGTTGATCAGAATCAATAATGTGTCGGAGTAATATGATTCACGAACAGAACCAGTTGTCTTCTGCAATGCTGCGATAAGACTTTATGTACTTTATTCAAATATGTTCTTATGGAAACTGTTGCAATTAATACTTAAAAGAAAAAAAACTTCGTCGCAAGAATGGAAGTTCCTAACGTCACAGAATTCCCCCTTGTGTAATTGTACAATGTGTAACAAATTGATCTTCTATGATATAAAGGTCGCACCGGCGACTTCGCATGATGTAAACGTGTCTCGTTGTTAAAGTCGCCGGTGTTTTACACCGTTTGTTTTAATAAGGTGTTGACTATATCAATTGCTCATCTTCAGCCTGACTCTTCTTGTAGTACATTTAAATGTCATGAGTGTCCTTATGGAATATATCAATTATCATGTTATCATTCCAGAAGATACTGGCCTTACTTGTGTTTGTTTAGGCGCATTGGCAACGTATTTTTTTGTCGTTGCAGCAATAACTAAAAGACAAAATACTGACTGAGTACAGACAACACATATGTGCAGGCTTGACAGTTCTTGTGCACATGTTCACGTCACTAGATTTTAGTGTCTTCTGCTAGTTAGAAAGGTGTATGATATGGTGCATGTTATATTTGTATACAGCAGATGTCCTCCGCTCACAAACTCCAATAGCATAACCTGTCATCTAAGGTAACTGGAGACTAAAGATATATCCTCCATGGTAACTGACAACGTCAACTATAACAGCTTAACGTCATCTGTCGTACAAAGTAACTGGCCACTATATCAGGTTTATATAATCTCTAAGGTAACTGACAACTGTAACAGCTGCTCATCACACCTGTCCTCCAAGGTAACTGACAGATATAGCAGCTTAATTTATCCAACACAGTCCAACACAAAAAGTATAGTTCTGCGCTATTCTCTGGACGAGAACGAAATACGTTTGTCGTGATGAATAAGAGCAGTGCAATTGAACAAAACATCCTAATATTTATCACGGCACAAATCGTAATCCTGTGATGTACGGTATATCTTCAGTTTATGAACAGCATTTCTCGCAATATATACGACAATCGGTGATTTCAACAGTTTGTTTTCCGTTGTGTTCGTCTTGCCTTCATCTGAAATCTGGATGACAACGATCGTGTAAAAAACCCTGGTAATGGTCAAAACTATTGAAGTGATGAAAGCAGTTTTTTGTCGTTTCCGTCACATGTTTTCATTGCCTAGTAGCATTGTGTTTTGGCAAAGTCACACTTGTCCGAAAGCTCCTCATACCGAAGACACTCGATCTGTGAAACTTGGCGGGTCCCATGCAGTGACCCAGATTCCCTGTTGATTGGCATGCCAAGTGTCATTTGCATAAGGCCATCCATATTTTTTGTATGTGTTTCTCCCCTCAAGCCTCAACTTGAGCGGGTGGACGAAATAAGATATATTACTTATAAAAAAAAACTGTCTTTCAACAATTGTGTAAGTTATTTTATGACAATTTTAAAAAAAATAAACACTTGGTACTAGAATCTAGTCTATGAATTAATGTATGTTTTAGATCGAGTCGCTTCGCTTCGGAAACGAATTTCTAATAAACAACTGAAGAAAGATCAAGTTGACCTGGTTCTTTTATGACGGTGCAATGGTAGATCTAGTAGTATTTCTTTTGTGAGATCGGTGCACGACTTTCCACAGCGGCAGGATAAATTGAGACACGAAAACGTTGTAGTATTTCATGTCGGAATGGAGATAATACACGGACAGCCTCACAAACTTCGAAACAATGTTCAGATAAATATTTGTTAACATTAATTCTGTCTTGTGCGTAAACATGGATTTCAACATTATTTTCATCAAGCGTATCCAGGTTGCAGGCTACACAGATCATTCTCTCTTGTAAACTACTTCGGCATGAACACATGTTTGGTCTCGAAGCACAAAGCAACAATGTTTCTCTCAGATGCATTTTTCCTCCTTATATGACGAGCACCTGTTAATGTCAATGCCTCGACAATCATACTGGTCAGTTGATTTCAACAATGTAATACACACAGCCTCATTCACGGCGTCATCACAAGATTCCTTCCAAATACCCACTAATGTGATCAGGGTTACGACCTTGGGATGAAATAATAAATTAATTTGCATTTTCAGAAATATTTCGTGAATACTATTATTAAAAGACATCATCTACGTGATCCTTTTTGATTGCACTGAGGATTTCTTTTACTATTTTGATTGCTGCTTACAACTGTCAAGAACTTCGCAAGTTCGCTTGTCGGCAATATGAGCAAAAAACCATTTACTTGTGACGCTTAATTTGACGGATAGTTGTCCGAGATGATCAGGGAGCCTTTGGTTATTTCGATTATGACATTGGTGACTTTTATGACATTTTTCATTGTGGAATCAGATGAAGCCGAATATGTCTGTCCAAACTTCTTTTGTCAAACATGCGTGACACAACACAGGCAATCGATGTTAGGGAATGGTGCGGCCATCATGTTGCAGAAATTCGTCGATTCGAAAACAGTGCTATCAATACTTCTGGACTGAGCTAAATAAACGAAGTGTTTGGAGAGATCTTAGATACTCGGACTTGAAGAAACGGATATTCAACGTTGCAGCAGATGAAGACTTGGTGTGGACAAAACGGGAAAGGGATCCCAGATTGTATTTTAAAAAGTGCGCGCAAAGTTTATTCAAATCCACCGAACTTAAAATACATGGGACAAGTGTGGATCTAATGATCAAACTCAGTTTTGTGTGTGAATATTCTGTGAAAGAAAAGGAAATAAAAAAATAGGGTTTTCTTGGAATATCTATGTTGGAGTTTATCGTAAGTACAATATTATCTAGATAGGCCTAATGTAGGTCAAACATCTAGTTTATTTCGTTACTTATTTATCAGCTGCTTATGTGAATTGTTATGTTGATACATGTGACATATTCATATTTTGTAGTCAAGCTAAGACATATTGGGGCAACTTCTGGTCCTTCAAATTAGGCCTCTTCGTAAACACTATATGAAAACTGTGTAATAATTTAAGGCATACATCTACATGTAACTGTTGAATGCAAATGACCAAAACTAAAGAAATATCTGTAATTTTCGGATTGAACTGAAAGAATCTTGTCGCTAATACTTATGTAACTGACGTCAATTTCGTATTTATACATCGTTACTGTTCCATCAACCGAAACTGATGTTCTGCTGCTGTTCTGCCGCAAATATTGACACCACATTACACTATGAACACAAATGCATCGAATGTGCCACATGTACAACTGACCATGTGCTTTGCTATTTATAGCGCAACCCAAAATAAATTCCGCCCACTGTGATTGATGCAGACGCCAAACACGATCGATTCGATTTATTATGATGAAACTACAGAAATATATTGACTTATATCTAGATATGCAGCCATTTGTGGTATCCAAGATTTGTCATTCAAGTTCATATGAAGTTTGACGGACAATGGTGATCTTTTTTGCGTACGGTTTTCAAAAAGCTTCTCCCGACACTCGGTTTTGTTTACATTGTCAGTCACTGTTCGAAATTGAAACACCGCCACCTTGCGGGCTATTTATAGTCAGGGTGGGGCTTTAACGTCATCTGTCCTCCAAGGTTACTGGCAACTATTACAGCTTAACGTCATCTATCCTCCAAGGTAACTTACAACTATATCAGGTTTATATCACCTGTCTCCAAGGTAACTGACAACTATAGCAGCTGAACGTCATCTGTCCTCCAAGG